TCATCAAATATTCGTCAACACCGTTTGAATTCGTCTTTCCTGTTGCCAAAAGGCTGAATTCAAAAATCGACTCCATCCTGTAGCAATCATTCTAATACTACATGTACTGTCATGTAGGTTAGTCTGTTGTCAGGTTAAGCACTTTTCCTGTTTCCTGAAGCACAATTCAATCGCAATTTATTGGAGCAGGGCAAAGTACCGGTAGTTGTATTGTATGATCTCCCTAATCATAGCAGTAACCAAAAGAAAATAAAAAGAGCGGAAATTAATTCCCAAATTGGTCTTTGAAACCCAATATATAGATCTATGTTCAGAATTAATGTTTCTTATTTAAATGGCCTCATAAGCGTCGATCCAGCCCATTGGACTACCACCGTTGTTAATCGAGGTTTCTACGTCGAAATAATACAATCATTCATTCATTTGTTCCCAACGGCACGGTAGTCTGATAAATATGTCCCTGTGATACCGATTATATGGGTAAGGCTGCTGATTTCAGTACGCTAACTGATTGCCTATACTGCTGTAATTCAGTGTGAAATGTTTTTTTTTTTTATACTGCATTCAAGAAAAACATCATTGCCCAGGATGCAGGAAAATCAGTGCATGTATATTCAACGAGGGACACCTTTTGGCGTGCAAGAATAATAATCCTGGTTGTATCAAGTTCTCGATAAGTAAAATCCGATGTTTTTATTAAATTTAAGTAATCTGTCCTATCTTTAAGTAAGCCCGTCAGGGCCAGGTACGTCTTTCTCTTTCACATCGGTGCGCTTCTCTTTCACGGTGGTGTGTTTCTCTTTCATGGCAGCTAACAACTCTCTTTCACAGCGTGTGTCTCTCTCTTTCATAATGTGTGTCTCTCTCTAGCTCTTTCGAGGGGGCAAGTCCATTTTTACAGGGTTGTATTTCTCTCTAAGTGTGATTAACTCGCGGCCGCGACTTATTTATTTCGCGGCCGCGACTTATTTATCTCGCACATAATCACGCAACATAATCACACTTTCAGAGTAATACACCCCTGTGAAAATGGACTGAGAGAGACGCACCTCCTAAAAGAGAGGCTAGCTACCATGAAAGAGGGAGACACACGTTGTGAAAGAGAAAGACGTACCTGTCCCTAACGGGCTTCCGTACTAACGGGCTTCCGTACTATACATAGTCCACCGGTTAATAATTAACACCAAAAGCTAAGCGATGATACGCGCCCTTCAGACTGGACTCTACTTTCTGTAGGCTTACTACATATCGCAGCGAACCAATGGGTTTAGCGTCGATCAGTTTGTGTACAGATTAGAATTTGATTCGATAGACAACCGCCATCTTGGATGTTTACTTTGGATATTTTATTTTTAAAACCGAAATGGATATTAGATTTTCGCTTTCGGTAGGAATCCTACTTTTGGTAACCCTGATAGCAGTGCATGCGCAACCACCCCCACCATATTATGAAACAGGTAGGCTTATTTAGGTGTTCTAATCCCGCCTGGGCCAATCTGTGGATTGGGTTTCGGTCCTACCTGATTCTGTGGGTTTCCTTAGAACATAATTCTAAGGTTTTCCTCCAACCTCTTCAATGTAATTTCTTCACATATATTCTGTAGTCTTAAACGAAGAAAATATCGGGCGTTTTGTGTGAGCAGCATTTGTCTTGGAAACTTTTCAACTTTGGGTAACTTTTCAACAGGATTCTTCCGATATGGATTGGATAACAACGACCAATCACTCCCGATGGGGAACGACATCAGCGCGCCGCCCCTGGGGCTACTGTGGGGCCTGCCCTTCTACAACAGGAAATTCTGGAGCATTTACGTGAGTCCCATCTTCAGCTCATTCAACCGTGTGGTTGCAAAGGCCGATTTATAAAGGTTATGTAATACTTTATTTTGAATGAAACAACATATACACAGACATGTTCACGTTGGAGGACGAAATCTGTGAAAATTAATTTCTCCCGTTTGGAAGACCATATCTCCCTGCAACTTTTAGGTTTTTTTCCCCTTATTGTGATCCAAAATTCTGCTAAAAATATGATTTTTGTTCAGAACTTTTCATGTAAATTGAAAAAAATAGGCCTGATTATGTGTATTTTCAAAGTTTCAACACTGGTGTTTGCAATATCTGTCAATCTTTACAAGCCTTATGAATAATCATAAGGTTCCTATCCCTTATGGTTTGCATTGAAAATTGGCAGAATACCATCTTTCACGAGTTATTAATTAATAAATATCACCCTTTTTGCTGGCTTCCATTGGTCGATATCGAGAACCACGAGAAATCACACCGAGTGACGCTAATGAAAATGCTAACATAATTTTTGTTATTCCGATATACTTAGACGATATAAGTGTTCAACTTCTCGTGAAATAACAACTCGAGGAGATTCCTAGAGATTAAGATAAGTACTTAGATCTCGGGACTTTTTTTGAACGATTTTCTCCGGACTTTAAGGTCAGCTGTACCAGTAAACCAGTATTGACCTTACGGCATCGATGACGACGATTTGTTATTTCTGACATAAAGTTTAGCATTTCTTCTTCCGCTATAATTTAACATTTACACTGAGCATATTTTCTGACAAACCCAACTTTCAAAAGGACATTTTTTTTAGGATGCATGAATCTCACTGCTCTGTTACAGCGTCTAAGTACGTAATCGGATAAACTTTGTTTAACAACGGGGACGCTAAAGCCTTCGCAACCACACAGCTGCATTTGTGGGGAAAATGAAAAAAAACCTCTGGTGTTGGTTTCACATCGCATGGTATATCTGCATGAATAACAGATCCCCATGTTAATATGTTGATTTAACGTAGCGGGTAGTTTTTGCAATTCTCGATCAGGATATTTTATCTTCCTTACAATCAAATAAAAAACACCCCAATTTTTGATGCAATTCTAACTAAATATAACAAGCAAATAAATGTAAACGAAATGAGATGTGAAAAAACATACCGTCAATTTAAATTACTTTTCTAAAATAAATTGACATTGAATTCACCTCAGTGATAACATGCAGAAGTGGACGTTGCTGGGCACCAGCAAAAAATGTAGATGTTATCAATGTCGATACCGGCACCCGTGGGTCATGTGAATTGTGGCTTTAAATACTAAGTCAATCGTGGGGATTTAAATCCCAGGACAGACCGTTATTTCGTTTTACCGTTTTGTATTTCCTCAAAAACGAAAACAGTAAACGAACCAATGACCGGTTTGTCGTTTTACAGTTTTGTAAGATAAATACAGTTATTCCGTTTTATTTAGTTTCATAAATTTCATTACAGCGATCAACGATTTTTGTTTTACAGTTTTACACAAATAACTTTGAAAAACAGCAAAACGGTCAGTATTCAATACAGACTGTTTTTTTCTTTTACTTCAGTGTCATAGTTAACAGTCCGTAGTGCATTTTGTGGCGGTACTTATGGTGGGCAAGGCCGGCCGGGGGTGGAAGGGGACCATGCCGTGCACGAAGAAGTGTTACCTCGGCATAAATCGTGCGTGGTGTGATTCCTGGCGTGACCCTGACCCCATCTACTGCGATTCAGTTTGTGGGGCCGGCTTGAAGAGTTGCAAGCAAAAATGGCGCTGGAAAATTTCAAGGGGGACATTTCACAATGGATACAGGATGGTAAGACGTATGAAGAGGTTGCAGATATTATGTTGAAGGAAATTGGAGTCCAGCGCGGCTCTTCAATAGCCAATATTCTCAAATTCTGTCGCGAGAACTAGAACGACATAAATGGAAGGAGGGCAATTTCACAGGCAGTGACCTTCCCAAGGACACATTAACATTCCAAGGTGCATTGCTATAATTGCCAACTTAAACCTGAATAAAAAAAATGGTCGACAAGACTATTGACCGTTTTGACATTGTCATGTTTTTGTAAAACAACACTCTAAAAATAAAGCAACTAACCGTTTATCGCTTTTTACGCTTTACAAAAACAATAAAGAGGTAATTGCTTTTTGTGACTTAATACCGTTTGACCGTTTTACAAAACTGTAAAACGACAACAAGGTCAATGGCTCGTTTACTGTTTTTGTTTTTGAGGAAATCCAAAACGGTAAAACGAAATAACGGAATGTCCCGGGATTGATTTAACATGGAATCGTTTTCAATTGCGTTAAGCGTGGATATGTTCCTCATATTCTTGAACACTCCACGTACTTTTAAATCGTGACAATTTGTGCTAACTTCGCTGATGTAATTTTTCTTCAATAAATAATTTTTATTTTTCCCTTTATAATTATTTAGATAAAAAAAATCGTCATTCAGCCCCACTGTTACCTTCCATGATTAATGGTTAGTTAGAACAATTTTTATTTGATTCATTTTTATGAATAATGTTTAGATATAAAAAGTGTACTCAATGAATATCTTTTAAAGGTAAATGACAACGGCGTTTTGTCTTTTGAAAATGGCGTCAACGATCACTCCAAGCCACAGGAATCTTTCCCAGTCGGACCAATTCCAGCGAATAATCCCGTAAGAATGTATTTTTACTCTAATGTACCCATCGTCGTCGTCAACAACAACAACAACAACAACAACAACAACAACAACAACAACAACAACAACAACAACAACAACAACAACAACAACAACAACAACAACAACAACAACAACAACAACAACAACAACAACAACAACAACAACAACAACAACAACAACAACAACAACAACAACAACACAACACGACGGCGACGACGGCGACAGCGGCGACAGCGGCGACAGCGACGAAAGCGGCGACAGCGACAACAGCGACTACAGCGACAACAGCGACAACAACAACACCAACAACAGCAGCAGCAGCAACTCACAGCAGCAAAAGCAGACACAAACTTCAGTCACATTAACTACCGCATCAGTTAAAATTTTATCAATCATAGGAGATTACCTGGTACCCAGTTGTTTGTATGCTTCACCAGATTCTTTACCGAAAGTCCTTGATTTTGACCAAGCCACGATCCACGTATCATATCTCTACGCAGGGTGAAGTCCCTCAACAAATGATCCTGATAGCTCCTTTCTACGCCAACGTGGACATCATGGAGAGCGGACAGATCTTCTACCGGCAGAGCACTGAGAAGGATCTGATGGACCGGTGCGATCGAGCAATCAACCAGTACTTCATCTACCACGCTGACTTCAGGACCAAATTGATGGTCATCGCTACCTGGGATGGGGTCAGCTTTTTCGGCTACCAAGGCGGTTCTGCCCCGGTAAGTAATTTGAAAGGCCTCTGTTTTCAACCAACTGACCTAGCAAAAACAGGCTAAAACTGACTGGCCAACTAACTTACTTACCGACCGATCACCGACTAACCGACCTACTCCAGCCACTGACCGATTCACCTGCTAAATGATCAGCAAACTTATCAACTCACAAACGTACAAGCCTACCGACAGACCAACGAACCGGTTGACGGCTGGCAAGCCGACATTCCGAACAACTGCCTGATCGACTTACATGTAAACTAAAAAAAACCGAGGTCAATGTTAGTTTCTACGGCTACACAGCCGGTGCTGACCCGGTGAGAAATGAGGAGGAATTCCTCTGTGTTAAACCAACTGACCTAACAAATCTAGACTATAACCGACCAGTCAACCGACATACCTACCGACCGAGCAACCGACCTACCTATGAACCAGCTTCAGCCACTGACCGATTCACCTGTTAAATAACCCACCAAGCAATCAACCAAGCAAACAAAACACCGAGACACCGACAATTTCAAAGAACTGATTGAACACTGGTAAGCCGATTAATCAATCAACTAACTGATCGACTAACCGACGAAAAACCGACCAGATTACTAGGACCTAACGTGGAGACTAACCGGCTAGATAAACGATTTACAAATCAGCACAATGACAGAAACGTATCGATTGATCGATAAGAACATTTATTATACTGATTATCAAAATGTTGTCATTTATCGTTAACAATTGATTACTTTATGTAGGTGAATACATTCCAGGTTGTCTTGGCAACCGATGAGTTTGAAACGTTCGCCTTTTTCCGTTATAAAAGTATTCAGTGGACTACCGGTGTCGAAAGTGGAGGATCAGCCAGCACTGGTCTCGGTGGGAATGCTGCGATCGTGAGTCTTATCGTTTTCCGTCGTTTTTAAACGATTCCGTAGCTTTTTAAATCCTTGAATTTGCTTGTAAATTTGTGCACAAAATGTGCAACGACGCCTTTGGAAACTATCGAGCTAAGAAATGAATTCAAAGAAAAACAAATTGTGTAAGAATTTGGTTTTAAAAACAAACATGACTGGGAACGGGATTTGAATCACTGACATCCGTATATCTGTTTTATACATGCACGCTGTCGTGTATGCAAGGGGCCCCTTCTATGGTGGAAGCATCTATCAGCCAGCTTAAGCAAAAAGCAACTGCTGAATGGCAGAAAAACTAAGCAATAGCTGGCAAAATGATTACGCCATTGCAGGGGGCCACCGTGTGTGTTAGTGCTCGTACTGGGTTATACAAACAGTGGGCACATTTTGGTTCCATTATTTTTGAAATTCTTTGTCACAGTTTGAGACATCTATGTTATTTCAAAACACCAGGTGTTTTGTTTCAAACTAAATGACCGCACAAGAATGTAATTAAGACAAGAAAATGCAATGAACAATTTCAATTTCAAAGAAAACAAATATGACATTACAGATGGGTTTCAATGCGGGAGATGACGACAATTACTACATAGAGAATCTGTACAGCGGCCAATCACAAGAACTGAAGAAACTGCCGCAGAACACCAACAACGACGAGACAGGCATGTTCGTGTATCAAATCAGTCGCATCAACGTGCAGTACCCGGTCTGCAGAGGTCAGAAATTAAGAAAAGTTTTTTTTTTTGGGGGGGGGGCTGATCCTAGAGGGAAGCCACGTGCCTGAGGTGGGCACAGCGGCGTAGGCAGCATTTTCACCATGGGGGAGACTGGGGGCTTTTTAAAATGTTGACATGGGGGACGATTTCTCGGTAAAAACAGCACACCTGGATGATGGCATGGATCTGAATTGCGTCATGGTTTGTTTTACATTTGCGCTTGCCTATGAGAGCCAGGTGGAGTCGAGAGTCATTATAAAAAAGCATGACTCGTAATGTCTTGGGTCAATTGTCATTAAATATAGATGAATCTTGTCTGCCATCCGGTAAAACTATTTTACAAAATGACCAACGTTTTACTATATCGCACCTTAGGTGAGATTAAAACCTTCCCTCGCTACGATTCCATGCTGGGTCAATCGTTGCTCCTCGTGGCCGGACCCTGCTTCCTTCCGTCAGGCAACTACACGTTACTCTTCGGTGACGTGAACGAGCCCAAGGCCATCCAGAACTGTACCTACCACACCAAGTGGATGGTGTACTGCTTCACACCGACCTTATTTGAGGTGAACCGCCGGATGCCAATTCAACTGTCCGACAATGAAGGCGTGGACTGGGCCTACACCGGCCTGTTTGAAATAGGTGAGTAAACTTACTCACTCATTCCTCGGGCACAGAAGGGGGGGGGGGTGTTCCAACCCCAAACCCCCTCTTGATCTATCACTGTAATTTTTGTTTCAGTGGGGTGATGGGTGTTACCTATTTTGGTACCCAATATTCCCATGCTGTCACGACTTATAATCTTTCCCTAACGTAAACTGTAACTGAAACAACTTTCCATCGAGTGTTAAAAATGATGATACTATCTAGTTATCGCAGGGATGACCAAACTGGCTGCACTATAGAAACTATGTCGACATTTTGTAATCCTCTTATTGCACCCAGTGAAAATTGGAGATACGCCACAGCGCGTGACCCGTGTGAACCCGGACAGCGAGGCGTGGCTTCGCGCCGACCGACCAGTCACCATCGAGTGGAACCCCAAGTTAATCAACTTCACCCAGGTCCGCATTGACGTGTTGGCTTACGGCGAGCCAATAGACCCTGATACTGGCCTGCCCGGACCGCCTACCTGGGAAGAGATTGACGAGGTACACAATTATCGTTTTGTAAAACCCCAGAGCAGTGTGTATTTGTCGAATACGTCGTACAAGTATATCAAGCAGTATAAAAAATGCCTTTGTCTCAGATCATTTGATGGCTTGTGACTCGACTTGGGGATTGTTGAAACATCTGGAAGACTTGTGAGAACTTGTGAAGTTGTTCGCAAGAATGATCTCAGATCTGCTCTACTTGCGCGCAAGCAGACTAATCCATGGGGGAAAGATGGTGAAGCAGCATGCGGTTTTCGAGGTTGGAGAGTGACTCAAAACTACCCATGACTAGTGCGAGATGGTCTACTCATGAAATAGTGTGCAAACTTTGAAAGTCCTCATACTGATAGGTGATGGACTAACGTCGCACAAATGGACTTCATGGATCTTGACAAAATCGTACAAATGAGGACAAGCACAAACTATTTGAAGACAGGTTTACGTTTAGCGACAGGTGTCTCGCCAACGTGAACAATTATAACTCTCAAAGCAATTAAGATTTATTTGTTTTTGTCTTACGAGTGTTAGGATCTTTACTAATCTCCCCATTACCTCCTGCATCCGATTATCTGAAAAAGTGTGTTCCAGGGGTAGAACAGGTTCAAAAATTATCTGTTCTGATCACTTTGTCATTGACTAAACAGCCTCGTCTTCAGGATGTCAAGCGGTACGCGCCCACCACTACCTGCTCTCTTATCCTGGTATTGGATCATTTGCATGTGCAAGATTTTTGAACTAGTATGCAAATGAGGAATAGTCTGGTGCCTACCAGTGCGCTACATTAGCGTTTGTTTTTGCATGCGGTGTCTGGGGTAAAAACAATCAATTCGCGCCGTGAGTTACGAAAACATGATTGTTTTCGAAGTTAAAATGTTACAATATTATCCTGCCAATATGCAGTATCGCATTTCATATTGGAATTGGAGAGGACAGGGGTATTTTTGAGAAGGATGTTATCATTGCAATGATCGTGAAAACACGTACTGCACGTAAATAATAACAACAACTACACGATATGAATCCATTACTGGCCAAGGGCGGTATCGAATCAGGATACAGTAAGAAAGTTTCCTGGTACTATTGGAAACGAGGTTGGAAATAAAATAAGCACTGGGGACGAGGTTGTTGACTAAGCAGTTCTTCGTTGAACTGGATCTGCTATGCGTTTCTTGTTAAGATCAAGTAATGTTTCTTCACTGCAAAGGAGTGTGGTAAACTGTGAGGTTACAGGTTCGAGCGACGTTTGCAATGTGTAATGAAAAGCCGTCAAGTTTCAGTTAATCCATTAATTAATCAACTTTAATTGTCAGGTGTCCTATACTGTGCCGAACACCGGCATGTACACGTGGACATCGCGGGCAGCTTCCCAGGTGAGCGACAAGAACTGCATCGGTATCATCAGGGTCACGCCAAGCTTTCAACGGTAGGTTGCAGGCACATTGATGTGAGGCTGGGGGAAAAAAAGGAAAACGAACTGATATTTGTATTATTGCTCATCAGACTACATTGGCTTTTCGAGGTTTGGCGCTTTGTGGTTTTGGGTAAATTTGTGGATAAAAACATCGCCCTCCTATTGCAACCACTTTTCTCAAAAAAGGCTGATTTGACAATTTGTTAGACAACACGGACCTAAGTTTTGGGTATCTTTTCCGAGTTACCAGGGCTTGTTGTTAAGTCTAACTGTAAGAAAATTCGCTTCTGATGGCAGGCTTAACAGGGGCGCTGTTTAGCCTTGCGAGGGGATAGTGGAGGTCCCCCGTCTGGATAACATTCTAGCCTTATGAAGGAACAACGCAAACCAGTGGAGAGCACTTCGGCTGGTTTGCGGCGTTATTGCAATCAGTCAGAGTAATCGCCACAATCGACTGCATTGTTCCCATTTTCGCCGGCGAGAGGCTACCATGACTCTCAGTAGCCTAAAGCTTTCGATTATGATGTCATTTTCCATCCACTTTGTGCAGTGACGACCTGGCACTCTGGAGCGACCTGCACTTCCTTGGCTACATCATGAACGGCATGTTCCAGAACGACACATCGACCTACTCCAACCTCCGCTGTGACGAGTTCTACGAACGGGAGAAGGCGGCTGGAGTCGATAAGGAACTCCTCAACAGCCTGCGTCCCTGCCCCTGCAACCTGACCCAGGCACTGGCCGACAGGGGGCGCTTCAAGCCCGACCCCATGTGCAACATGGACGACACCGTGCAAAACCGTACCCAGGAGTATTGTCGTTTCAAAGACGACGTGGTTCACTGCGTCACCAGCATCGTCCCTTCGTGAGTGTTGTCAACAGTGTTTTTCAAAGAAGGACAACTACTATTTATTTCACTAAATATTGGGTAGTTCTTTTTTGTTTGTTCTTTGACCTGGAATATTATATCCCCCCCCCCAAAAAAAAATGCAGAGAATTGTCAAAAGATAATCTATCTCTGTTTGATTTCTAATGGATCTTGTTTTCATCAACGTAACTCTTTTTTTTTCACAATGGTTCTCGTTTGCTATGCTGATGACGTTCAACTCTTTTTTTTTGTCATTTGCACCAAATCAAGATGTCAGCGACCTGTAAAAATCTGGGAGCCTCCCCAATGACCCATTTCATAATGGTTCTTGTTTTGGACAATTTAAACTCTTTTTTTTTCATAATGGTTTAGGTTTTCCACGACTTAAACTATGGATGTCTTTGCAGACGTATAAGTTCATTTGGTTCAGTCGAAGTCGACATTTTCCTTGTAATATCCCTGTGCATTGGAATGTCATCTCTTCCTGCGTATTCTTTGTATGTCATAACAAAGCGATGGCCACGACTCGACCTGCTGCTACGATGAGTGGGAGAATCTAGTCTACGCAGGAGACAGCTCATCAGGGAGCTTCTCGCGAAGGGTCACCGTGGAGGGCATTCCGCTCTATAACGAATCTGGAAAGGTATAATATCTTTAAGATTTCCTTCGTCTAATTTTATTTGAAGTAACTCGTTTTTCCTGTTAAAAAGAGCATTTCCCAAAGACAAGTTATGATCAGCAACAACAGGTTTCCGGCAATCATACAGAAGTAGAAGCAGTTTATCGGCTCTAGACTCTAAAAAGTTGCGGGTCAGATCTAACCCAATCTGAGTCAGATCCGACCCAATTTGGGTCAGATCTTTTCATGCAGGAGAAGAGTCCTAGGGTTTCACACTCTTTACGGGTCCGTTTGACCCGGAGAGCTTGTCAGATTTTTTGGACCCGTATCTGGTTTGCCAAAACATAACCCCAATCGCCTGAACACAACGTATCTGGGTCGCCTGAAGAAAAAAAAAACCTGATCAGGGTCATCTGCAGAAAACCCGGAAAGTGTCAGGCCCAATAGAACTCGGATTCCACGTCGATATGCCTATAGGACTTTTCAGAGTGTAAATAAGCATCACATTTTGGCCTGATAGCTCCTCATAGAGCGCCGGCGGTCGGATGTTCAAATCCCGCTCAAGTACATTTCCTGGATCATCTTTATAATGTTTAATATATTAACCATTTCTGAATCGGAAATATTTTTTTTGTATTTGACCATATACCGGATCATACACCGATAAACCACAGGTAACCCCCCCAAAACAGGTCAAATTCACCCGGTAGAAGGTTTAATCTACATGTGAACCGGAAAGCGGGTCACTCTTGACCCAGAGACTATCTGACACAACACTGGGTCAACAAAGTAACCCTTTATTGAGTCATTATATATCAGATTGAATCAAAAAGTCTGACCCGGAATAGGGGTCAACAATCTGACTAGAGACTTTTTGGAGCGCACGCCAAGAACTCTACAGACTCAGGTTCACACATATTTCATCCCTGCAGGTGCCCGAGTTGTCCTCGGGGATCGCCGACCTCGCCCCATACTACATGTGCTGCATATGGGGCGACCACTGCGACTATTACCAGAAGGTCAGACCTACTCGTGACTGCGCGTGGTACCGTAATGTCCGGCCAGGTAGGTAGACAGCAGCACCGCATCGTGCGGTACGCCCTTCATCACCGCCCTCGGAAGTCAATATACCATAATTGAGCCATTGAGGAATACAAAGAGACTAGAATTTAAGGTTACATGTATTACATGTGGCTGCAAGTGAAACATTTCATTTTTTTTAGTTTGGTTTTTCAAGATTTACGATAAGTTGATAAAAGCTTAAATGAATTGAATTTTGGTAGTGCGGGTCCCAAAAGGTAGCATCGCTAAACAGCGCATCATGCATTACAAAATACTGTGATTAACTGAAAACAACGGATAGTATTCACTCACAACTTTGTTATCCTTAAAGAAAAACAATTAACCTTAGGGTTTTTATCCCTAAAACAATACTAAACCGACCTCATTTGAACTGGTTGCCTAGAGAACCAGAACCGGCCGGTTCATTTTGCTAATGAAAAACATAAGTCTGAAAAGTCTATCATCTGTTGTCATTAAAATGGACCTTTCAATCCATGTTTTGTTGTAATTAAAATACATAAATGTTTATACAGTATGAATAGAATGATGATATTTCCTTTAACGAATTTCCATTATTTAAGTCAGGTGGACTTAATTTAAAGGAATGTTTAACTTATACAAAACCGGTAGCATTTATATGTGTATATATATAAGAGAAGAGGGCCTGCATATTATAAGTCGTGCGAGGATATCAATATAATAAAAATAACTGGACATATAGAGCGCCAAATTGCCAAAAGATACAAGGCGCTTATTATTACTCTGCTCATTGGGCCAATGAAACATTCCATATACCATCTCAGCCCCCTGGGTAGTATAAAGCTCCATGATGCCATTTCGGCGCAAAGCAGCTTAATCAACCACAATAACCATCTCTGCACTCACTGGTACCAATTTACTCCTGGGTGGAGAGAAGCAATGAGTGACAAAGTGCCTTGTCTAAGGGCACACGCAACGTAGCCGCAGGCTGGACTCGAACCCAGAACCCACGGAATTACCCGCAGACCGCAAATTTAATAATCCAGACCACGAGGCCAAAGCACTCCAGAATCGCTCTCACCGACTCACCGACTCACCGACTCACCGACTTGGGTATCAGAATATCAATGAGAGTATTCATATACTCAAGACGACTTTTGAAGACTGCTAACCGATTGGATTGGTGCAATATGTTTTGATGTGGATTAAAAAAAAAAAGTTTGGGTTCATTACCCGAAAAGCCGAGGATACCTGTGTTGTGACGTAAAAGTGTGTTTAATTTCTTTTGCTTTTGTTTTTGTTTATTTGTCTTTAATTGTAGCGACTGTGTACGGAGACCCTCACTTTGCGACCTTCGACGGTGTTGAGTACACCTTTAATGCTAAGGGCGAGTACACGCTATTGGACACCACGTCGGCATCCCAGACACAATTCAGACTTCAGGGACGGTTCGAGGAAATCCTCGACCGAAATGGTAAATTCATCGCTCCGTGATATATCAGGGACCCGAAGTATACTACTTCGTTAAAACGAAAATTTACAGTTTCGCAGCTTTTTCGGTTGCACGAACTAAGACTCACCTTTTTTCTCTGATTTCTTGTTGATTCTATATACAAACTGGTGAAAAACAGCAGATTTAATAAATTCAATACATCAAGTGTCCAAAACGAGAAAATTTAGTTACCGTTTTCTCCGATTGCTAGTTTTTAATGCTATGAACAAGGGTGTTACTTCGTGTTGTTGCTGACGACATGTTTGGGGAGTCTCTCGTAATTGGATCCGTTAAGGTTGCTAACGCACGCAACAAAAAAAAATTGGCCCCGGGCACACTTTTAAAAAACACCTTCAATGAATGATTTCTTCCGAGACTCCCATCCCTGTAGATGTCAATTTGGCACGGGGCAACAAATCTATTGACACCTTACGTGAGAAGATCTAGTCGATCAAGTTGGGACCGATAAATTCAATTCCAGACAGGTTCTGAACCCTAGTCTGCAGAGTAAGATGTAGAATGTAGTGTAACTGTCCAACATGGCGACTCGCTCTAACAATTTTATTTGCAGTTACTGCTCTTAACTAATCACCTTGTGTCCAATAAATATTTGTACTAGACAGTTTTTCCAGACGTTATAACAAAAACGAGTGCGAGCCCTGATAAAAACAAACCAATCGAACATAAGGACTTCACTCGTAAATTTGACTCTCATTTCAAAAGGCGTACGTAGGAATGCAACTGTACTGACAGCTGTGGGGATGCAGCAAGACGACAAGGAAAAGATCATGATCCGCAAGTCCGATCGGACCGTCCTGGAGATTTTTATCGACACCGAGCTCCTGGAGATCGACGACCAGACCACCATACGCGATGGCCGTGGGTATCTTTTTGTATATCCAGCACCTTTGACATGGGCGTCGCCAGGATTTTTTCTAGAGGGGGGCAAAAAAAAATTTTGCCCAAAAATGCGTGGTTTTCTCAACACATTCTCGATTTATCAGTTTAAGAGGGGGCAGGGACATTTTGCCCCCCCCCCAACTCATTAAATTTACACCACTTTGTCGTCGCGCCTCTTTTTCTTTTTTTTTTTTCTTTTTTTTTCTTCCTTTTTTTTTTTTTTTTTTTTTTTGCTTTTCCAGGGGGGGGCAAGTGCCCCCCCTTGCCCCCCCCCTCGCGACGCCCATGACCTTTGATAATGATACGCCCCAACTATGTCCCCAACATAGGTTAAGACAGTCCCAAATACATGTTTAGTTGGAATCACCCCAGCCAAAAAAAAGTAAGAATTATAACATGGTGTTTAGAAAGGGTACGAATACTGCTAATGGCACTGTGCAGCATTTCCCCCTTCTCATTGACGCACATAAAACATTCCAAAGACCATCTCAGCTCCGTAGGAAGTGATATCTCGATGCTGCCATTTCGGCGCAAAGCTTCTTGACCCAGTCCCCAAACCGTTTTCTGCCATCATAGACATTTAACGATTATAACCTTGTTTTTTTGTCTCCGCTCATCTTTCCTGTTTGTCATTTCTTCCACAGCTTTCTTTCTAACCTTCCCCCAGGAGAAGCAGACGGGGAACTTGACCCAGATCATCGTGACATTTATCGACTCGGAGTTTGCGGTGGTCGTCGACGGCACACAGGAAATGCTGACCGCGCAGGTCCTGGTGCCTTACCGATTCAAGGTAGGATTTTAACAGTCAACCCCCCCCGCAAAAAAAAAACCCTAATAAACACGAAGTCGGAAGGCAAATGCTGGTTGAGATGTAAGCTTCTGGTCACATATTCACGGTTTGGAGCTACGGATATCCACGGTTTAAAATTCGTGGTAAACTGGAGTACCGTAATCATCCTTAGTACATCAGTGGTTATCCGTCATCCTCCTTGGGTATTCGTGGAGGGGCTACGGAAGTTTTAAACTGTTCCAAAATTCAGTTGAGAATCGTCATGAAAATCAATCGTAGTGCAACCGTAGGACATCCGTAGGACAACCGTACCAACTCGTTTTTTGTTATTCGTTTCTATTCGTACATATTCGTGGAGATTCGTAGCTCATTTGTGGTAGAAATCTCTACGGATATGGCCGGATATGCTGGGATTCTGCTTAGGTTGAACTACGATTATGTATGCTTTATTCGTAGGAGAACCTTGGTCATCCGTGTTCTAATCGCAGACAACTGTCACATTAACGTCATTATTCTAAGTAAAACCATCCTTCAATTATCCGTCCATATTTTTGACAAACAGTGACGTATTCGTAGAGAAACCTTGGGACACCAACAAAGAGAAGGGAAGAATAAGGATTGATAGCGCTCATGCTTACATTTTACTGCAGTCCTGAAAACACTTCCTTGTGTTCTGTTTCACTTTACTTCTGATGTTTGTCTTGCCGGTTTTTTTCCCGGACTTTTTTCCCCAAACATTGGGTACAAAGAATGTTTACAAAAAGCCACATCTTATGTTCACAATGTGTATACATGTAATACAATCTTTCAACTGACGAATGTGTGCCTGAAGTGACATCACATGCAGCAAGGGCGCCTCCATTGCGTCATCCTCTGGTAAATCAAGCTAATTATTCCAACACGTATTGAATTCATTCTAAGCAAACTGTGCTATATACTGACCACAAACATGTATATAATCGATATTTAACATGTTCTGCGTCATCGTCATGTTGTCGTCTCCGTTCTGTCGTCTCTTTGGTATAGAACTGCTCGACGGGACTCTTCGGCTCGTGGGACGACAACAGGGACAACGATCTTCGCTCCAGGTCCGGGACGCTGTTCGATCCCGACGACCCACCGGAGACCCTCTACAGCGACTTTGGTCAATCCTGTAGGTGCCATGTTTAGGAAACTGCTGTTACCCGAACTCGTCAATCCAAACGTTCAATATAAAACGTTCAGTGACGTTCAGTGTGACAAAAAAATCCGGGTTCTGTTTGGCAGGATGCTTTCAGGGTAAAAAAATCACACATTGTCGAGTCAAAATTTTCGAGGTCATTTTGACAAATCAAAATATGAACCAGGACAGTTTATAGTGTGACATAGTTTACCTTGCAATTTGCGTCGAGAATGATTGACACGATTGAGATAAATTTAGGCCACCGACTCTCTCTCACACCTCTCCTTGATGACACTATTCCGTCCACTTTTCAGGGGAGATAGTTCCCGACCAATCCTTGTTTCACTACGATAAGGGTCTTGGCCACGACTACTACCAGGACCCTAGCTTCGTGCCAGATTTCTTCCCACCGACGGACTCGGAGTGGAATGGGACGGAGGAACTGGACCGGATCTGCCAGGCCAATCCGTACTGCGAGTATGACTTCCTGACCACGGGGATCACCGAGCTGGCTAAAGTCACCATGCTGGCCTATGAGCAGTACTGGATAGCCTACGGAGCTTCCTTCGATTGTAAGTACTGTCTTGATGTATGGGATATTATATCCACAGCCATATTTCGGTTCAAATTCAAAAGTGTTTTGTAATCTATTCACACTTTGTTTCAGAGTTTAATCTTGGCCATGATGTTTGCAACTGTGCACAATTGGAACATGTGCGACTGCAATAACGACTAACACCCAAACAGTTCGTTTCTGAGTCAAAATGTTGACCCCCAAAATTCATTCTCGCATGAATAACACAAAAACCGCCAATTTTAAAAGGATGGTTGTGTGGACGTTTACATTGTCTTTTCAAATGTTCTGACTAATCATTATCAATTAGTTTAAAACGCGTTTTGTAGCCAAATTGGTTGCTTTCCGGGACGTATTGTCCCTTTGATATTGTTGGCACGGCTTGAAGTTGAGCACATCTTTCAAATGGACGTAGCCTGATTGTCTTGAGGATTAAAGTTGTCATGTATTAACCAGCAGTGCGGACTGAGAAAATTTACCCCAGCTTTTCAAAAATAAAACTTTCCATTGTCACCTAATGAGAAATTAATTGTGGTTGTCCTACAGTAATCACCTGTGCCAATCTTGAGACTCCTAAAAACGGCAACAAGACGTTCCTGGGCAATGCACACAATCAGCTGGGATCGGAGGTAAGGCCAAAAAAAAAAAGTCTCCGGTTTCTGGTATGCGCGCGCGTCGCCGTAGCCATGCGCGTCGGCAAAATGAAAAAGTTTTTTTTTCAATACAAGATGATGTCTTGAAACCGCCAAACTCACTGGTTTGACTGGAATTCTGCTGCTGCACAATTTTAACGTGTTTTTAGATGGGGTTATGATCGAGAATAAACTTTATGTGGCCTCTCTGGACTCCCATATATTTGCACTAAGTTTAGTCAGGCACCATTTGCAGTCATCAGCCGACATTTGAAGCCAAAAAAAAAAAAAACAGGTAAAAAAAAAAAAAAAGCCGCGTCGCCGCACCACTTTTGGGGCAAGCTCCATACCAGAAACCGGAGACTTTTTTTTGGCCTAATGCTTATTTTCATCACGACTGTGAGGCAACTAAAAAACGAACAATAAAATCAGCTGTGTTTGCTTCTGTAATTGGGTTTCCGTCCATCGATCATGCGCGTGGACGGAAGAGACCACAAACTGGTCATTCTATGAATCTAGGGTGCAAAGCGTGACATCTGGCTCTTCTGACAAAACCACGGAATTACCCCAATTGAAAAACTTAGCAGGTTGTTCTTACTACACCGTTACATTCATGCTGTTTTCCCACGACGGGTGTGGTGGGTAGGTGGGTGGGTAGGTTGGTTGGTGGACAGTTTACTCGGCCATGCTTTGTATTCATGCAACTCGAGTCTTCCAGCTTTGTATTCGAAGACCGCTTTTGAAAACACTGATGCGCATGTGTCTAATTTGCACATTTTTGCATATTAGATCACGACTCATTCGGGTCACCGTGCCGTATTAAAGCCGTCTTCACACGTCACCCGCCCGTCGTGGGTTATACCACTTGGTACTTGTTTATCCATTCCTATATTAGGGGCTGATCTTAACGAACGTATGATTTTTGTCATCTTTGTACCTCACTGACATACTCACTGGCTTAATAACTTACTCCAACCTGTCTTTTTCAGAACCACGCATTATTGTTGATTTATAATTGTAACATTAATTTTGTGTATTAATGAACAACGTTGAATAAATGTCTAGCAAATTGAATTGAATTGAAAAGAAAGGAAACCCACATTTGACAGGAATTTTAACCTACTTACTTCACTTATTAAAACTTTTTTTTATAATGTAGGGAAGTATAGCTCTTCCACCGTACGTGGTGAAAAAAAAATCTTTAAAACTTTGGGTATTCGGTATAAAACAAAAGCCTAAATCTTTTCTATGCAACTCTGAATAATCCAGGTGGAATTTTCCTGCGGAGATAAGTTTTTCCTAATCGGTTCCCCACACCGGGTGTGTGAGCCACCCCAGGACAGCCAAGGAGAGTTCCTCCAGGGTAATTGGAGTAGCAACTCAATCGTCAACGAATGTATCGGTAAGCTATGGACGGCCAATCAAATTATTATAATAAGATGGAATTTTGCGTCAGGGTGATATAAATAAAATTAGGTTTTGCCCTTCACCGACGTTTAAACACTGTATACTCAGTGTGTTACCTCCCGAGTGAAAGATGGAAAAAAAAGATTTTTTTCCCCATCTTTCCATCTTATAATAGTTTATGCGCTACCCGCTGCTATGTACATGAGATTCGAACCAGCCACCCGATCCCGTTAGCTCGGTGGTCGAGTGGTAAGACATCTGCACTAGAAAGCAGGAGGTCGTGGGTTCGAGTCCAATCCGAGTGATTTTTTCCATCTTTCACTCGGGAGGTAACACACTGAGTATACAGTGTTTAAACGTCGGTGAAGGGCAAACCCAATTTAACAAATTATTATAAAGATTTATAACTGAAAAAGCGAGTAGCTCTTTTTTTTTTTACTCTGAAAACATTTAGAAGCCAGACGATCATAGGCAAACTGAGAAGAACACGTGAAAATGGCTTTCGTCATTTTTTACTAAGCGTTTTGCACCCAAATGGTATCTTGCCAAAATTAAGCATGTGTGAAACATATCACGTCATTGAACATTGTATCACGTGATTTCAGATGACCAAGCGACTCCGTGTTATACAGGCTGGTTAAAACAACGAAACCGAGATATTATTGCTAAATGGAACAGAAGTAGGGCACATGTGAATCAAGGAGAGATATCCTTGGTTAGGGTTGAACCTCCTCTTTAAAATGCCACCCTGATCATGTCCTTACATTCACGGTTGACTGAGCAGTAATCAATTTTATGAAAGGCTCTATTTAGAGAATTGCGCCACTTTTCATGGTGAAATCTCTTTTTGTCCCCAACTGCCTTAATTGGCAACCGATTGAAAAGTGGCGCTATTCTCTAAATAGACACTTTCATAAAATTGGTCCCTGCTCAGTCAATAATGAATGTAATGACGTGATCAGGGTCTCATTGTGAAGAGGAGATTGATTTAACCTTAAACAGAGGATATCTCCCATTGATTCACGTGTGCCCTACCTCTGTTTAATTTTTTTTATCCACCCTGTATAGTGCAATGTAGATGTCTTTGGATATTCTGAACGCGGATCTCGGACCTCTGGGTTATGGGCTTAGCACGCTTCCACTGCGCCGCTCTGCTTGCGTCGGTTCAACGCTGGAGAAATAATATAGTGTACATTGTTACATATTTCAGGAAAATGAAATGAGATAGTAAACAAAAAAATAACTTCGTTAGCAGAGCGAGGTTTCGATCCTCGGACCTCTGGGTTATGGGCCCAGCACGCTTCCACTGCGCCGCTCTGCTTGCGTCGGTTCAACGCTGGAGAAATAATATAGTGTACATTGTTACATATTTCAGGAAAATGAAATGAGATAGTAAACAAAAAAAATAACTTCGTTAGCAGAGCGAGGTTTCGATCCTCGGACCTCTGGGTTATGGGCCCAGCACGTTCCACTGCGCCACTCTGCTTGCGTCGGTTTACCGCTGGAGAAATAATATAGTGTACATTGTTACATATTTCAGGAAAATGAAATGAGATAGTAAATAAAACAAAAAACTTCGTTAGCAGAGCGAGGTTTCGATCCTCGGACCTCTGGGTTATGGGCCCAGCACGCTTCCACTGCGCCACTCTGCTTGCGTCGGTTCACCGCTGGAGAAATAATATAGTGTACACTGTTACATATTTCAGGAAAATGAATTGAGATAGTAAACAAAAAAAATAACTTCGTTAGCAGAGCGAGGTTTCGATCCTCGGACCTCTGGGTTATGGGCCCAGCACGCGTCCACTGCGCCACTCTGCTTTCGTCGGTTCACTGCTGAAGAAATAATAAAGAGTACGTTGTGACATATTTCAGGAAAATGAAATGAAATAGCAAACAAAAAACTTCGCTAGCAGAGCGAGGTTTCGATCCTCGGACCTCTGGGTTATGGGCCTATCACGCTTCCACTGCACCACTCTGCTTTCATTGGTTAGCCCCTGAAGAAATTATAAAGTGTATGTTGTGACAAAATTCAAGGAAATAAAATAGTAGACACAAAAACATCCTCGTTAGCAGAGCGAGGTTTCGATCCTCGGACCTCTGGGTTAGCACGCTTCCACTGCGCCACTCTGCTTTCATTGATTATTGGAAATTTGAGCCATTTGAGCGTACATGTTTATTGCGTCCAATTCAAGGTAAATACAAAAATCCCTCATGAGCAGAGCGAGGTTTTGGATCGTTGTGTTATGGACCAAAGACGCTTCCAACGCGCCACTTTTCTTTCTTGTTAGAAAGAACCCTTTTTGTTATAAGAACACTGTAAATGGGATGGTATTCCCTTACTAAATATTTTAGCACCACAAAAATAAACAAGTACATGTAGAAGCCTAATCGGTGAAACTGATTAAGTGTGTGTGAATCAGTGGGTGCCTGTCTACTTCAGCGAAACAGCCTCATTGTCGTTTTCATTAAATAATTTGTGAAGATGAGATGACATAAGGTTTGACAACAAACCTGCATCACTTAGCGTTGTGCAGCGCCCTCAACGGTAGTGACCTTTGGTGAATCATGACCTCTCCATATTTTTAAAGACTTTCTTTCCATGTGTACAGAGATCAAGTGCGAGGAGCTCCCAGCTCCACACCACGGAACCAGAGTGTACACATTAAATGATGGCGTGATAACAGCCGTCTTTGAGTGTGAAAAAGGCTACTGGCTGGAAGGGAGTGCGTCCAGAATATGTACAGAGAATATGACATGGACTGGAAGGGAGGCCTGGTGCGTCGCGATCACTACGCCGGAGCAGAGCACGGCACACACTGAGAGCGCGGCACACACGACGGATGAAGTATTCACGCCAACGAAAAACCCCCAAACAACTAAAGAAAGTACGATCTTTGTAGTGGTTAATACTTGTCTATAGACCAACACGGTCACACTCTCATTTCTATCACGAAGGCCCCCTTCTGTGGCCAAAGCATTGTGCTAGTTATTGTGCAGAAAATCCGTCATAGGGTAGTAGTTGCTTTGTACAATAGTGTGCGCAGTGGTTTCTCCATTGAAGGGGGCCACGTGCGTGTACAGTGATAACGTGCCCGGATACATTTTAATCCGCCGTCCTATTCAAGTGCATTGTTTACGGTTTTTTTGTTTACCACGAAAGTGTTCGTTTAATTGATATTATGTATAAGCATTCATCCGTGGACTTTAACAACATATAGGACACGAGTCTGGTCCACGATTGGAATGAAGCCCTTAGTTTTGAATAGTATCCTTAGTTTTGAATGAGTATAAACAAAAAGGACAGTAGGAAGCCCACGGGTCGAAGGTGTTCACGCACTTTGTGTGCACGTGAAGCGCACGTGAATTTTGTTTATACCCACAGTGCTTTGTGTTTCCTACGCCATATTCTGTCTCAGAATAGCCCATAGACCCTTATCATCCTGCCACCATTTCAGTCATGTTCCCTGTATCCAATAACAGTACTGAATGATTTTTTTGTGTGCAAAAAGGAACCAGACTATTTTTCCTTCCAGCCTCACTTTGGTTACGTTAATTTGAATTGGGAAAAATCAAGATGACCGCAACATGATAATGATCTATAGCTGCCGTGAATACGAGAGAATAAATATATTCGCCTCATACTAAAGAAATAGGTCGCGCCTTTTATTGCATTGTGACTTTAACGCTTTACATTCCATGTTTTCTTTGATTGTAGAACCCGTTGGAGACGATAACAGGGTGGTCATTATTGTGTGCTCGGTCATCGGAGCTATCATCTTGGCCATCCTCCTAGCTGCCGGGATGTACTTCCTCCTGGTGGTAAGACTTTCCAAGATAGACATATCTGACGTACAAAAATAGAGGCCCTTACTAATGTAGAACCGCATACACTCAACCAAAAACGAAAGTCCCCCTGAATACTTTTTTTGTCTAACTCAAAAACTACTAGGCACATCTTGCTCAAATAACGACTAATCAGCAAAGATATACCTTAGCGATCCAGCCATACTCTTTATTTGGCTCAAGCCAGTGTTGTTGTGTACAAAATTATGCAATTGATGACAAATGGTACGAAAAGAGTTGCACTTTTGTATACGTGCGAGGTAATGTGAACCACAACTTGCACGTAGACAAAAGTGCAATTGTTTCAGGTATCGTTGGTCATAACTTGCATACATTCGTACACATTATCACTGTTTTGGGCCAAATAAAGGGTATGGCTAAATTGCTAAGGAATTTCTGTCCTGTTCAGTCGTTATTTGAGCGAGAGGTGCTCGGTAGTTTTTGAGTTGGACAAAGAGGTTTGGAAAGGGAACAGTTTTTTGTTGTTGTTGAGTGTTTGTGCGCGTGCCACACGCGTTTCTAAAGTTGGGGGAAGGTCCGCGTGCGGTTTTGGCCAGAGGAAAATTTAGTGCACGCATATGACCAGTGCGAGACCCTGGCACATCAGGGACCAATAGGGACCATTAGAACTCGTGCGCGTGCGGGAAACGTATGCACTCTGATATGACCTGGGATCCTGGTTCTATTTGTTCTGATACCCTTTTCAGGTTAATTTGACCCGGCAATAGTTGGAAAAAAAATGTCTTTTATCTTATATAGCGCTTTTTACTAAGATCAAAGCGCTTTACGTTATTATTACCCCTGAACATTGGGCCAATTAAACATTCCAATTACCATCTCAGCTTCCTGGGGAGTATACAGCTCCATGCAGCCTGTTAGCTAGGCGCAAGGAAGCTAATTCAATCACAATAACCATCTCTGCCCTCACAGGTACCCATTTACTCCTGGGTGGAGAGAAGCAATGAGTGACAAAGTGCCTTGCCCAAGGGCACACGCACCATGACCCACGGCTGGACTCGAACCAACAACCTGCAGCTTTACCCGCAGACCACGAATCCATAGCCCTTATCCACGAGACCATGCCCACAGCTCTCCAGAAAAGTGTAATTTTGACACTGAAAACTATCAGGGGCAAATAGAACCTGGATTCCGGTTCAAATCTGACCCGGGGATTTTTATTGTGTGCTGTTCGGGAAATGTTCCTTTTTTTGTTTCGTGGTAATTCCGTTTGGTATAATGGGCAATTAGTCTGAGTATCACCCATTATCCACGGAGCCAAGTCTCCTGTATAACGTCTGTCGTATCTAAGCATGCTTGACGTCATTTTATTCCCAACTCTGGACTAAGATTGTGATTGGTCAATTTCGATGCGGCGCTTTTGTTATACAACAACCTGTACCAAAAGGTACTCATCGTGGGCGTAATGTTTACGCACGCGGGGAGCTTGAATTACGTGCGTATAGAAGGCGCATGCTGATTGGTCAGTTTCTCGAGGTGATACGCAGTCTAGTTGCATTATTAATCGCCCAATCTGTTTACGTACAATAGACCATGGTCAGCTTCGCCAGGGCCAGGGTATATTACTAAGAGTGCGTTCGATTACTTCCCCCACGCTTACTCGTGCATGCTCGACAGCGTTCGATTGACCTCTCACGTGACTTCTCGCGCTTACTCGACCTGGCCCAAGTAATCGACTCGGCGAGCTGGTTACTTGGGTAAGTATCCCATAAGGCCATGCAATAAACATGGCTGCCAACGTGACGTCCGGTGAGCGCTTATTTTTTCCGTACCACACGCTGTTAAAGAGGTTGTGGAATGCTCGAAGACATTTCCGTCATTTTTCGGGTATATGTAGCCTAAGGTGTGATGAAATAAAAACGACTATTGTTTCTGTTATGAAATGAGTACAAAAGGTACTTTTGAGAGCTGTTTTTTAGGTCCAGTTTCGACCCGAACGTGCAACTGTGTAAAAGTCGTCGTTGCGGGCAGCAAACAAAACACAGTAAATCGTGACGTAATAAACAGGACTCCCGATGCACAGTAGCATACACGAGTCCTGTTTATTACGTCACGATTTACTGTGTTTTGTTTGCTGCCCGCAACGACGACTTTTACACAGTTGCACGTTCGGGTCGAAACTGGACCTGAAAAAACAGCTCTCAAAAGTACCTTTTGTACTCATTTCATGACAGAAACAATAGTCGTTTTTATTTCATCACACCTTAGGCTACATATACCCGAAAAATGACGGAAATGTCTTCGAGCATTCCACAACCTCTTTAATTCGAAGTACGTTGTGTTGCAAGTCAGGTTCTCGGACTTTATTTTCCCTTGAAAAAAAATCCTCCAAACCACATACTGGTCAAAGAAAAATTTTCCAAATGAATAACAAACCTTTTTAAGAGAAAAAAAGAAGTAAAGAAGAAGAAATAAAAAAAAATCACTGGGAATCGAACTCACAACACCGGATTCATAATTCAACGTGGTATCCACTACACGACAGGAGTGACTCGAACGATGTGGTTGTTTTAAACATTATATCATTGCGTATATAGCGCCCTCCTGCACAGTTCTATATATACTAGAGAGCGTGTGGTATGGAAAAAAATCGCGTTTGGCGAGCGCATCAAGAGCTTCCAGAGCTACGGCTATGTCTATTGTCACGTATTTTCAATTGGCATGGACATAGCCCTAGCTGTAGACAGTTGATTCGGATGCAGCTTCAGTGTCATGTCAAAGTTCAACTTTCCAGCTCTTGCACGAAACTTTACCCGAACCGTTCGTTTATTTTCGCTGGTACCCCCGCCCTGCAAACAGGACGCTGGGATACTCTGATGAAGTCACGCTCTGATTGGTCGGATTTTGGGTGACCAGCGACCTGCGCGTCATCAAGGTCATGACTCTGCAAGGTTTGAAACGGCCGTTAAGACTGATTCATTGCTTTTTTATTCCAGTTTAGAGATTTTTTTCTCGTTGAAAAGCGTAACTATGTAGGAAATTCTGTAAAACTTATCTGTGTTGTAAATTTACAATTCCCGTCACTTGCTCAGGCTCCGTTTCGGATCACGAACGGACGGATTGCATCATGCGACGCTCAAAATTTTGTCCACATGGTCCGCAATGAAACAGAAATCACATCCGGTATGGAATGTGCGTATTTCTATGGGAAGTTTTCGGATAACATTTGCGCACATTGTCTAAATGCGGTCTTGAACAGCTGCAGCCAGATGCTTTATACATAGGTCATAGTCCATTTCCTTCAGAAAATTCTGTGAAGCTCATCAGAGTATCCCAGCGTCCTGTTTGCAGGGCGGGGGGGGGGGGGGGGTACGAGCGAATCGTTTATTAAGCTACACTGCGCATGTCTGTCATCACGCGAGGAGCCAGGCGCGAGTAAGCTCGGGGAAGTAATCGAACGCACTCATAGACTAATGGGCAATGTGCGTCTCACTTCAAACTGCAAACGAGTAGATCATTTGGCCTGGTAAAATAATCAAGTCCCACGTCAGATTCGATTGTGAATCAGGGTTTGATTTGACGTGACACTGTACTGGTCTAGATGCCAATTTGCCTAGTCAAATCGGCACTTTCGTCGGTCGAAATGACAATGATTTCATGTCACAATGACATATGTTCCGGACAAAATCTAATGGCCCAGAAAGGGGACTCAGACATATGTCATTTTGACCCGATAACTGGCAGGTCAAATCTGACTCGGATCCTGGTCGAATGACCTGGTGTAGTGTTATAATCGGACTAAATGAAATGCGGACTCCTTGGCTGTATTCTGCATGCCTAAGTGAAGATAATTAGGACAGTAACAGGGTTAGAATCAATGTTACGTAAAAAAACCCAGATTTCAAAGGAGTCCAAATTCCATTTGACACCTGGACTTTTAAGAGTGCTCACAACATAGTGGTGTCATCCGCAACCTATTTTGAGTCGCACGCATGTCTAATAGTCCCATAGCCATGCTCAAGAAAAAAAGTCCGGCCATTATTTTCACCCAATTTTCTTGCATTCCTTATAGAACCGTTCGTCAACGCCTCACAGTTTCACGATCCCGCAGCCCGAGGACGCCCCCGTCCAGCCGGGCGACTCCATTGCCCTGGGGGAGCCTCGATACATGAATTTTGGGGAGTCTCAATACACAGGGACAGGGGAGCATAATTACATCGAGCCTGACTCGACGGACGCTGTGAACGTGGTCGAGGCATTGGATCTAAAAGACATCGTCGGTGTGTTCGAAAAGAAAGAAAAGTCGGAGGATGAGGAATCCTCGACCTCCGACAGTGATAGTGAATAAATTCGGTAAAGAAAAACCGAAGGAAGTTATGTTCATAGACTTGATTTAACGCTGTTTCGGATTCGATAGACTTTAGACCATGACTTGTTTAACTGTGACGTCACGCCGACAGGCAACCACTGGGCAACCCAAACATTTAAGCATCTTTTACAGCCATTACTTTAGAGTATATGTCAACAATTTCAAACCATCCATAAAAATTATTTCAAAAGATGAACGTGCAGTGCATAAGAGAACCCTCCGCTGAAAGATCGAATCACGTGATCACAACATTCGATATGCAACCAAATGTAAAATGATTGGTATTATTTGCATTGAACTCTTCTTAAAGTGTCTGTTTTTTGTGTAGGGAAACGCGCATCTAGATTTCATGTGCGTACAGTTGTTGCCGAATTGAACAAGAAAACATTTGAAAGATGGCTGCTTGTATGCAAGGGTCTTGTGCCAAAATGAAGAATGCCCCCCCCCAAAAAAAAAACACCAAACCCTTGTATTTTTGAGTAGTCAAGGTATCCAAGATTCACACTATGCCTTTTATTGGGGAAACATAATTATCCCCAAAAGTGGAAACACTGAAGAATGCTTATCACTGCCGTTGGCGGCGCAATGCGTATTTTTTATTTTTCAAAGCCGTTTTTCTCGAAATGAGGTTGGCGAAGATTGGCGGGACACTGTTGAAGTTCCTGAGGCATATCTTTGGAATAAATTCAGCTACAGAAATAAATTGGGTATCATTGAAAAGCCAATGATTTGTGCTTTAACATGATATATATAGCTTGAAAAGTCAAAGGTGGGGGTTATTCCTCGTTATGCTATGGCAGGTTACATTTAGTCAAGAGTAGACATGCTGTAAAGCTGGTTATACAGAATAATTTTTCAGAACCTTTTTGGTCAACGTAGTAATTTCATTGTATAGTATGTGTATTTTGTTTAGTCGTTGTGTGCCCAGCCTGCATGTTTGTTTGGTTTTCAAAACCGTGTTCTGATGTATTGTGTGCATTCTTTTATTCTAAATAAATATAGATTTATTAAAAATCTTTAAAACAAAATCAAGAACCTTAAAACCCATGGGGGACCGATGATAATTCATCCCCATAATATCCTGATCTCAGTGAAAAATAGACGTGTGTATTTTAATTTCTGTCGTAATTCGGGATATGTGGCAAATAGTTAGGTTTTTTTTGTAAGGGAAATGCTATCTCAAAATGCAGTGCAGATTGAGGCAGGTGGCAGTGGCGGCGCCGGACTCAATTTTTATTTGTATTTGCTTGTATGTCTGGGTTTTTTTTTGGGGGGGGGGGGCAACATACAAAACTCACTAGCCGTGGAAAAGTCGAAAAGTGTGAGGGGGCATGACTTAGTTGATTTTTTTTGGGGGGGGGGGATGCCACCTCTGCCTGGTAGAGATATTTGTGGGGAGTATCGTTTGCTAAATTATAGGAAGTATCATGAGGTTAATGTAAATGCCATATTTTAGTTAGCAGAGAAGCCCTGGACATAAAGAGAAAAGGCTTTAAATGTAGATTTACTTAGTACGTCGGTCAATATTCTTCTTAATGCATCGCAGATGCAGGTATGGTATAGGCTTTGGTTTGCAAAAGCTTTTTAGATGTAAAGCTCATTATCAGTACTTTTTAAATCAATGTTGCGTATTTTTTGAAGCGACAGTACGTTAAACATTGTACAGAATTTATTATTTCAAAAACATGCTTGAGCAGTTTTAAAGTGATAATTCTAAGGAAATCGTTAGCATCGATGGTAATGCCACATGCTGTTGACATTTGCAATCTATCTTGCTTTTAACCACTCTTTATTTTCGTAGTGATGTTGTGTTTTCGTATTTTGCAATTTTAAAGCAGCTTATTGTTAATAACATTGATGTATCAGAGTGAAAGTGCATGCCATAATAACACCTGTACTTTTTTAAAAAATAATATATAAATAGGATGGATAGTATAAACTTTCAGCTACAAAGTGGCTGAGGATTCACACTGTTTAGTTTATGTTTGACAAATGTTTATAAAAAAACACCAAACGAAAATTGGAAAATTGGAATGACGGTATTGAAAAGAGAAAACAAAATTAAAATAAGTAAATAGAGTAAAGTGAACAATGGTGTATGGGTCCAAGTTAACACAAATAAATATTTCATTTTGTACTCTTTAGAAATCAATCATCTTGCCTCATTCTGGGTTTTTTTATTCATAATCTCGATCAAACTGATTTAACATATGTTTCCAAGAGTTTTCATCAAAGATTTCAGTTTTGTTCAGAGCTCAGGTGGTTAAACGGAGTATAGCGAATAATTAAAACAAAAAAATATGCAAAAAATGGTGTGTTAACAAAATCCTTATTGGTACATTAAGCTATCATGACTTACTTTAACACGATGTAAACGAAATGAGTTAGACCGTCGACGGTTTTTCACATCAATAAAGAAATGTATTGAGAAAAGACTGAAACATTAGGAATTCGCGATTTGTGTCACCCAAACGAACTGCATTACATGACAAAATCAAGAAATTGTGCAATGAATATTAATATAAATAGATTTGTAAAATGTTTAACCAAATGGAAATTCAAATCTTTGTTTTTAATGATTATGATATGATTAGTAGAATCAATATTTTTGGTCCTAAATACAAATTCGTGACTTCCAAAAATGTTAACATGTTTAAAGGCAAATATAAGCTATTTTACACGCAAATTGAAACACTAACTGGGGTATTTACCAACTTGAGTTGCCCATTTGTGTGATTTACTGGTATGGCTACCCACCACACTGGGACGCTCCAAAGCGCGCTGCGGTATTCCACTCAATGCACTCTTCTTTAGTGACGTGTACAGACCTATACAAAACCCACATGTGATGGGCGTTCAGGCATGGAAGCGTCCCAGTAATGGCTATCAGGACCATCACCGTAAATTCACAATCTGTTTCGTGTATAAATACATGGACACCATGCTACATGTGACTATAGACTAACGGCCAACCGACAGGAAATCCAAGCAGTTAAGCAAATTTTGAATGCTATTTTGCTCACGCTAAAAATTGACGTCACCATTTTACACCAATCACATTTCAAGAGATGCACATGCAGTGTAAAAGAGGACAGTTTGCTGAAAGCTGGAATCACGTTACCACAACATCCAATGTGCAAACAAATACAACATGGTATACAATGCGATCGTAATGATTAACAGTACAGTAAGGTTGCTTAAAATCAGACATTTGGAGTAACCAACTCAATTTTTTTTTTTAAAGAATAATAGAGTAGTTTGAAATTAGTTTGGCATTTAAGTGAGTAAAAATCTTCCTTTTGAATAGCTATAGTCTACGTGAATAATGCAATATACAACTAAGCCAAGCACTAATTTAAAAGAAGCCTACAATTGAGGCCGAAATAAGAGGTTTCAAATCGTGCCATTAGGTTTTCGACACATCAAAAATTGCCAGATGGGATCTGAGAAAGGGCCCTTTTTGTGGTTAAACAAAGTCTGTCATTTGGCAATCTTGGAATTCTGGCGAGAATTGCATAAGCGTCAACGCCAAACGGTATGAAGATTGAAGATTAATATATGTATTCTATACTTCAGTCGGCTGCATTGGTCAGTAGGTCATTAGCACAGGGCCGGATTGGACCGGAGACAATAACACCTGTGCTAGAAGCCATTTTCAGATGCACCTCCAACATGGCCGCCGAGAACGTGTATGCCTGACCAATGTGGCCAATATTATCACTTGGTGGTAGCAGTGGCGACGAAGCAATTAATTTCCCCCCCCCCAAGGCCACATTGGCCTGTATACTTTTCCCTCAACTGCCTGGTCACTTTTGGCAGAATTTGCCTGCAGGCTGCAGCCAACATCGCAAGGGCAATATATCTCATTGGTCACATTGTCCTGATCGTAAACCACAACACTGGCCAGCACACGAAGCAGTCAGCATGCAAAATAGGCCGATGGCTAGATAGTTTGAAAACCATTTCTGTTCGGAGTTTACATTACCACAATATATTTAAGAACATGTATAACTGCTACTACTAGCCCTACATTTTTTTTTGGCATTAAACCGGAGAATATTTCTCGATAAGCTTTAAGCACAACAGATACGATTATTTACAAATAAGGTTTATAGATAACTCTAACGAGCACAATAAAAACCCTTGCTTAAAATAATTACCTCAACAAATAAACAAATTGAGAAAAAAACCTAAAACTTGAAAACGAATGCACAATAAGGACATTGGAAAGTTATGCACCAAACAGGTAAACGAAATTCATACGAAGCAGTGGCGTATCCAGGCAGAGGCAGAGGGGGCACTTTTCCCCCTCCCCGGCAGATTTTTTTCATAACATTTTTTGATCGGCAATCATTTCAATAAATGGTTAGAGAGTTCTTTCATCAATCCCAAAAAAGAGAACCCGCTCAAAAAAACCATTACAATGCGCCGTGAAAATGGATGATTTACAGTATGCATAATAATAGTCAGTTTTGAAGATCGCCCCAATTTGGAAGGTTAGTACCATCCCTCCCCCTGCTTTTTGATTTTACGGAGGCCAAGTGTCCGGAGAAAAAAAATCCTATCTACATTTCGGCGCGGATGTGCGGTTGCCCCCCCCCCCCCGAATTTCAAAGCTGGATACGCTACTGCTACGAAGCAATATTCCCCCATAAAACAAATCATATAGCGAACTTTCCAACAATTTCGTTGGCTACGATTGTAATCTTTCAACACAGCATAGCCTTAAGTTTAGTAACCTTTGATAGTGTACGTAATTAAGGGCTGAACCTTTCGTACCAAAACTCCTTAAAGGAAAGGTTGGCAATTTCTGTTCATTTTTTTTTCTATTTGCCTCATCTTTGTCATCTATTACGTGGCAACCATGCTTTTATTACCATCTTTCTGTTGTTCTCTCATCTTTTTATTATCAAACTTTGTATCACACAACAGAGAAAATAATTCAAACCACGTTGCATTTTTCATTGCCGTCCTCTAGAATAACAAGGTGGTAATCAGCTGCTGCTACCAACTATCGATAAACTCCTAATCAGAATCCTTCTCTATGTCTTTGTCTACCTTCTCATCTGCTTCATCCTTCAGCTTCTCCTTCTCTTTGTCCTTGTCCTTGTCCTTGTCTGTATCTTTGTCTTTGAACCCTCCCTCGTCCTCTTCCGAGGATTTGTCCTTCTTGGTTCCCAACTCCACATCGGCTACTTCCCCCGAGACGGGCTGGTAGGCGCTGTCTGGTGGTCGCGTCACCTTCCCGGCCCCGCTGCTAGACCTCTGTTGAACCATCCACAAATAAAGAGGGGTTTCAGAGGGAATCGAACTTTGACTCTTTTGTTAGCTTTTGCGGGGGGAGGGGTTAGCAGAAATGTGCTCCCTTTTTACTGTATGATTTTACTATTTTTTGGGGGGGGGTTGCCCATTTTTTTTTTTAGACCCCAACCTCACGCAGATCCTCCACTGGGTTGCTTATTTCACGTTGCTATTTTCGACGGCTTGCAAATTTAAGAGCAAACAATTTGGTCCTGGAGAGAGCCAAGTCAATAAATAAGGAGGAGAGCCAAGTCAATGTGGTCAGGAAAGGGTTAACATTTAATCCTAAGATCAAGATATATTGAGATTTTTATATTTGTAATAGGGACATCTCCAGTGGAAACAGGAATACCTCAGTCTTTTAAACATAGTTTTATCTCTTTTTGAAATATCTCTATTTTGAATCTTGATATCTCTATTTCGGAATAATATGCTAATTAGCAAGTCTAAAAATAGATATATCTCTATTACAATAAAGATATATCTATTTTGGGGAAACCAATGGTACATTTGCAAGTCTAAAATTAGAGATATCTCTATTTTGGGATTAAGTGTTAAATTTGCACGCCATTTTTTCAAGCGTTGTAGTTGAGGCCAGCACAAGCCCATAAAAAAAAACAGACATATGTTTAATATCAAAATCGAAACTAACAGATGATAAAAAAAAGATTGCTTTTTTTTCTCAGTTTATTTGACTAGCTTGGGACTTGACTGGAGATAAGATGCCTTGTAATGTAGTCGTGGAAACCTACAAGGACTGACTTGTGATTGACACAATTAATAATAATAAAAAGAAACGTGGTGCTTATAATAGTGCTTTAGACAAAAGGTCACAAAGAAGCGCTTTACAATTACTACCCCTGGTCATCAGGCCACGAGACCAGTTTTTGCAGCAGCTCGAGATCAGCGCATTCTGGTCTCTACCCTTTATACTCCTGGGTGGAGAGAGGCAATTGTTAGTAAGTGTCTTTCCCAAGAACACAAGCACCATGCTCCCCGTCAGGGTTCGACCCCACGCACCACGTCATCTAAGTCGCACATCGTAACCTTTGGACCACAGCGTCCTCCACATCAATTTAATCCTGTATTCATTATGACTTGAGGGATCCATAATTACAACTATGGTTAATTTAGAGTTCATACTCGGAGAAATTGACATAATATTACTATGCAAATATATAATGTTAAAAGTCGATCACCTCCATAAAGCTTGTTCTTACCTTTTTGTAGAAATAGTAAATTCCACCGGCTAGAGCGACGAGGACGATAATAACAACAATGACAACGATGACAATGACGGCAGTATTGTTGTTTCCACCCCGTGGGTCACCTGTTGAAAAAAATCATGATAACACTCTTTTTCACAGTTCGGGATTGTACTGTACTTTTCAGTAGGGTGGTATTAAGCCTATCAAAAACAGGTTGTATGGTAGGCCTGTATCTCAAAGGAATGGAAAGAAATGCCACTCAAGGTATAGTATTTCTTATACGTGATTACCTCTTATACACTTAGTCTCCTGTCCTGTCCACTTGTTGTCCTCTCCGCAAGTTCTGGTCTCGCTGCCTTCAAGCCGGGCGCCTTCGTCACACTTAAAAGTGGCTGTTATCACGTCCCCATCCTGTGTCACATCCATACTGCCATGTTCTGGAGCATTCAGGTTACCACATTTGGCCTCTGAGGAAAAAACCCAAACAACCAGGAAAATGAACATAAAGATGTCAAACTTAATTGCAACACTTGCACAATTACTAATTGTTTTCTTAAGCTGTTGTATACAGGTGGCGTTTGAGTCCAATACGTAGCCACGATTCCTCAGTTACTCGCCATACCTTCAGGTAAATTTGTAATGACGCATGGACGGTACCACACAAACTAATAATTCGGTGACTCGATCACTAAATCTTGTCTCAACACCTATATCACTGCCTTGATAGTAACATCCGGTGATAAATAGGGTCAATTTTGTTGACACTTTACAGGAGCTTCGAAACGTGTTTGATAGACGTTTGTGTCACTGAATGTAAGTGTGTATTTCCGATGTTATTTTTGACAGCACTGTAGTTTTATTCGTGCCTGGCACCATTTTGTGCAACGGAGACCTAACGTCTTAACCGTGTGTACATGAGGACAGCATGGGCGTCGCCAGGATTTTTTGTAGAGGGGGCAAAAAAATTTTGCCAAAAAATGCTTGTATTTCTCAACACATTCTCGATTTATCAGTTTTAGAGGGGGGCAGGGACATTTTGCCCCCCCCCCAACTCATTAAATTTACACCACTTTGTCTTCGCTCCTCTTTTTCTTTTCTTTTTTTTCTTTTCTTTTTCTTCCTTTTTTTTTTTTTTTTTTTTTTTTGCTTTTCCAGGGGGGGGGGGCAAGTGCCCCCCCTTGCCCCCCCCCCCCTCGCGACGCCCATGGAGGACAGGAACGGTATCGTGCTTCGGCTTCGGATATTTGCCGTTCAGTTTGATTGGCGACTTCTCCTGGACACTGATGCTTCACGATATAATCGTGACGTATGTGAACCCAGGACGCTATCGGTACACGCGTTGATATTTATTGACGACATTACACGCATTGATAAGTTATGTTGACCCCTACGTCATGATTACTGAAGTGAATACATCACGCGCAAAATGTGTGTAAAAGACAGTAGCGCGTGATTCAGCCGGTGAACTAACCCGCGCGCGCGCGTACTCCATTCGTTTGCACTACTACACTTCTTGGTTCTAAAATTGACGTCACACTTTGGTACTCTATAGATCAACTCTTATAATCGACGCGCCTGCCGGCTAGTCTGTGTTCAGAAAAACAATCAGGGCAAGGACCATTAGTCGACTAGCGGTTGACTTGTGACGTCATTCACGCCTACGCACTAAAGCAACTTGCGAACTTCATAACCATTGCGAATGTAATAGCAACATTTCTGGGTCCTGACTCCCCGCTGTACGTTATGAGTGCGCGCCGCTATGGTTACCAGCGATGCAACCAGAACCAGTATGCTGGTTCCAAATAGTCGACTAGAGTCGACGAGACGAAGCTGAGGCTAACTTTAGTCGAACTATGGTTAACCATTGGTCAGCAATAGTTCTTGCCAGGGGCGTAAATCCCGGGGGATGGGGGTATATATCCCCAAAACTCTTTGACCGGGGGGGGGGATGGGCTATTGAATCCCCCTTTTTACTTGATAAGAAAAAAAGTTCGAATATCCCAACAACCAAAATGTATTCAGTACCACTGCAAAGTGGATCATTATTATTTGGATCATCCCCGTACCCCCCCCCCACCCACTCGCCGGCACAGATTTACGCCACTGAGTTCTTGCGCGAAATTGCCCCAGGCTGCGGCGATAGCTGTAAAACTCACCCTCACAAGAGGGCTCTGTGGTGTCTGACCATACACCGCGCTCGTCGCACACCCGCTGCGAGTTGCCGAAGAAGATGTAGCCGTCGCCGCAGGTGTAGCGGATGACTGACCCCGGGGCGTGGTGCCTGGCCTCGCCCACGAATTCCTTTTCGCCGTGTGATGGGGTCGGTGGGAATGGACACATCAGTACTGAACAAACACAAAGAATGAAACATTAGACAATAATTCAATTAGTGAAAACAAATTTAATAGCTTCAAAGCTAAAACTGATTACTGCAATGCAAAGGCTCCATCTCTTGTATTAAATGGATAAGGTCGGCCGACAGTTAGTACTGAATAAAAAAAAGTCTTTAAATTTTGTTCAGCCCAACAATATTTAGATTTTGTCATGCAATTTTTAACCTGCATGTTTCCCGGGAACAAAGGACCGTCCGATGAAATCTCAAATCACATGTGTTTCATTATAATCCCTTTTTTAATTTTTAATTTTTTTTTTACAAGACCTACATTTGTCTGAGGCCAACATTGTCTTTTCCATGGCCTTCGAGTCCTTGGCTGTCTGAGCAGCAACGGCCTCTCTCTCTGTTACGGCGTAGTCAAACCTTTCAAGGAAATTAATAAAAATTACGGTCACTATTAATTATGATTAAACGAAAAATTCGTAATATATTACGATTTTAGTCAAAATAATATCCTTTTGTTCAACGGTCTTATAATACCATTGTTTCGAAAAGTTCCTGTTGGTGTATAGACCATGTTGCATTTCTTTTAAAAATTAGATGTTTGGTGACGTTATGCTTTTTAGCAAACTGTTTTTTTTTTCAACGCATGTGTTTCACTAGAAGTGTGATTGACATAAGCAGTTTAATGTGTGTGTTGTATTAAAGGGAATATACATCATTTGCTTTTGCTGTAATTTTCAGAAATGGATGGAATTGGGGGGTTGGAAATATATAGCAATTATAGTTACACTGACTTTTTTGAGGTTTTGGGTTCGAAAATGCTACAAAAACCAAGAAAAACAATCATTTTCCTGTTGTCTGGTTCCCTGACTCCATATAAGAAGAAACAGATCAGTTTACAAACATTGGGGAATTGTAAGGTCAGGGAACCAGTCTAGCTGGCTTGTACCCGTTCATAGGTGTGTAATCGATTGCAAACAAGTGCGATGGTCAATTGGGGCCAGTATTTGAAAAAAAGCCAGTTTTTTTCCTACGCTGGTCGGCCGACCAGCGTTGGAAATTGATACCAAAATACACTTTTCTTGAAAATGACAGTTTACCAGGTGCCATGATTTTACAGGATGCTTAACACTGTCATTCACTAAAAGTCCAGCAAGGTATTTCAAAATGATTTGGTAGTTTTATTTTTTGATGTTTGCAAATGTTGTATGTTCCCTTTAAAAAACAAACGTATTTTTGTAATGATGTAATGTTTGTGTAGTGATGCAATAAACCATTGCTGAACTGCTGTACTTGCGAAATGAATATATTTATAAAAAATACGGTTAACAACGGTTCTTCCTCAGAAATTCTGTAACAGGCAGATATCAAAGAGTGCGCCCTCTTTGGCCTGGGACTTACCGGCAAAATTTGTCATCGCCGCAGACACGTTCCAGCTCTCGTTCGGAGACGCCCCCTGTCGGCGGCTCGAGGATAGGCCGGAAGCTGTTGTCTTGGTAAGTTTGGTGGGTGGCGCTACCGTAATAGACAAATATAGGATCGTCGGCTTCCCCTACGAACAAAGTGGATCGGTCCAGAGAATAAAACAAAAACGATTAACCAATGCTTTATGTAATACCATTGGTCAAGTTCATCTCATCATCTTCCTATACTGTGCAAAACCTCCGCTGGAGTATACTCGCACAAGTTTGATAACGATTTTTATTCCTGATTAATGTGTAGCTTCAAATGTTTAGACTTCAACAAGAGTTGTTATGGCATGCCATGTAGGAATCGTTCTTATTCCTCCATGGTCATACGAAAACTATAAAACAATGGAAAAGCTTACACCACATTTCGTAGGAAGATCTGCGGTCAAAACTGTAAAAACTGACTGCACCTCATGCACCTGTGCACTAGCACATGTTTGTCCCAAAATCATGAACACTCGAGGCTCTTGACAGGAAACTGAGGCAGTTGAGGTTATAATTGCAACAACACAAAAGTGAAGCTCAAGTGCATGAAGTGTCAGGAAGTTGCCAGTTATCTATCACATGGTGTACTTGAAGCATATGGGGTGACAGTCGGCTGTACCTCAAGCGTGTGTTACACAACGTGGACACTTCACATGCATCAACTTGTTGCATTCACGTGCATAACGTGGAGTCACTTTTTACAGTGATACACTAGCAGCCACTGTCGATTTAGTGGCGTTGGTGAGATAAGCAGTGTTGTGCATAACGAGTACTAAGTCTGTTCACATTAAAGACATTCCTTGTCATTTCACACGTCCAGTGGATGATCAATAACCAGTGAATGTTTTTTTTGTCGTGGTTCATTTGAATAGTTTGTGACTTGACTTGGCACCAGACGACTTGAACGGTGACTGCTCTATATTCCGACACCTCTATGTTCCGAAAACCCACACATAACACTGAGTTACTCCCGGTTGGGGTTAGGGTTAGGGTTAGGTTAAGGGTTAGGTTAAGGGTTAGGTTAAGGGTTAGGTTAAGGGTTAGGGCAAGGGTTAGGTTAAGGGATAGAAATATGATCAGTCGGAACATAAGGGGTGTCGGAACATAGGCGTGTCAGAACAATAGGTGTGTTAGAACATAGGTGTGTCGGAACATAGGGGTGTCGGAACATAGGTGCGTATTACCTTTCAACCACTTGAACTGAGCTCGTAATTGAGACTTGTGAGGACTTACATTGTTGTCCAAAGTCTCTGTAGATGGCCTCGGTTGATGTGTCGTCTATCACGGTGCCACTGGGTGTCTTCAGGTCGTCCGACTCGTCTTCGTCCCAATTACCAAAGAGACCTTCCATCTTGGTCTTCCCCTGTGGATAAACATACACAGATATCCAGGTTTAGCTTCTTTTATTGGAGGTTGTTGACCCACACATTGGGACCTGAGGTGTACTCTATCTTACTGTGTAATGCCAGGAATCTCTCTTTGTGTCTGTCTGTCACTCTGTCTGTCAAATTTGGAGTTATGTTTCTATATCCTCGGTACCTTAAGCACGCATGCGCATGGCACGTATCTGAGATTGTTCAGTGGCAGAGTGACTTGTTTGCTTAATCAAGTCGTACAGATGATAAGCTGTGTGTCTCAACTACGACATGATCTAACAAGCAATCCCTCTCAAACCACTTCACATTTGGACAACTTCTGGTAGCAACAGGCCTAAAAATATCTCTCTTTACTATTTGTAGTTGCGCCAAACGCATGCATAAATCTAACCAGCCGATCATTTTTCCACTTCAATATGGAAAAAAAACCACTATAAGCCAATATAATTATGACTGAGGGCCTATCAAACGTTTGAACGCTGTATTTTTTTTCTGGTAAAAATACCCAGTTGAATGTTGTAAGCATTTACGGAAGCACTGTCCCTGAAACACATTGTACCCCTCTTTTACATCACACTGCCATTTTCCCATTGAAATAGTTATGTCCCTACCAATGATTTAGGACAATGAATGTCAGATGAGAGTTCGCAATGAAACTTGCGTTTTCCAATATCAACAATTCCATTGACTTATTTAACATCTAGTTTCTGAAGCTGCCGTGATTTGTAAACTGTGATAGAAGAAAAGGTTATAATAAAGCAAAGATGGAAAATGGTGGGCTTTTATATCGTGAAGAACAAGTGGAAGTGACTGTGGCAGGGCCACGTGGTCAGATCGTATGAAAACAGAATCGGCATGGAGGTTGGTAGACTTGTAGTCAAGAAACAGCTAGAGAAGTGGAGGTAGACCAACGAAGAGGTAGAGAGGCGAGCTAAAGCGACTTCAAGAAAGATTGGAAACATCAAGCAAGGGATAACTGGAATGTAGAAGAGGGAACTTGGGAAAGGGATACATCCTACTGTGGACTTTAGATCCTAAAATGCAAAACAGACAAAATGAAGAGGGACGCAAGTTACCTTGTACTCTGATGGAAGGAGAATCATGGCAGACAGCATGCCTTCCGTAGCCTCCACCATCAGCCCGATTTTAGACATCCTGAACAGGAAGATCATCTTGGGCACGACACCGTTGCCGGTGTTCTCTGGGAAACTCACGAAGAAGTCTACCAGACCACAGCAAAGCAAATCAAACAAGATTATTTAAATGGTAGGCCACGGTGTGAATCTAATTCAAAGTGCGTCATGCTAAAACCAAATTGATTGGCACTGTAAATCGTGTGGTCCCTAGTTTCACTCATTGGTAATAAAAAAATGGAAGGCCTCGAGTCTCTTGCAACTGGAAAGTTTTAGAGAAAAAACGGTGGCCACGGTACTGCCCTGTCGTGTTTGGCGGCAAAATGAGTTTAAATGTTTCATTTTAAAGATTAAAAGTTACATAAGAGATCAAACGACTTAGAGTCAAAACCACACCAATTTTAGAACGATACTTTAAAAGAGTTATCAATTCAATTAAAAGTAAAACTTGATCAAATCGACTGACTGTTTTTTTTAACTGGCTTGTTTGTATAGTTTCAGGCAGGTGAAATAAAGTTCCCCTTTTTTTTGGGGGGGGGGGAGCAATTGGGGGGCAAGGACCGATGGGGGGGGGGAGTAAAAATACAATCTTAAGCCTGTGTACGCGCGCGTGCCCATTGTCAATGGTCCGAAAATAATCAAATAGAGCAAGTTAGAAGTGCAGTGTTTTAATGAAATGTATCAAACCGCAGAATTCATTTATTCGAATGAGATGTTAATGTATGACAAATGTACAAAGACGTTGGCTGCATACTACCTACGGCAGCATAAATGCATGTGTGGCGTGTTCCGTCTAAAGTGCCAATGTTTATAACGCTGTTATTTGCCCCAAATGTGTCCACGTTTCATGAACCTTAACAGCGGAGAAAATAAACAAAATTAATCTATATGTTGATAACATGTTGGGAGAAATCGGGGAGGGGGCAAGGGGGGGGGGCATGGGGAATGCCAGCGCCGCCACTAGTTCCTTGATGGCAATGCAAAAGACGCATACCTGGGTACTGTTGGTAGGCGCTTCTGCCGATGTCCTGCGGCGTGGCTGACGGGCCCACCTTCAGCGTCATCAGGGTGATGTCGTCCCGCTCGATCTGGATCTTATTCTGGGGGTTGTTATTCTCCATGATCACTAGAGTGGTCAGCACGGTGGCGTTACGCTTAACACCTGCCAAGGGTAAAATCCAGTGTTGTATGAAAAAATGGACTAAATATCAGCCCCATGGGCACCGACGCGTTCTGATTTTTGAGTGCACTGAGACATGTGCAAAAAGCCATTCAGGTCAATCTTTCGTTGAGTCATCATACCACACGGAATTACTATTATTAATCATTTCTGGCAATGAAACCAATAATTCCTCAAAAGCGTCATGTGAACGGTAGAGCAGGCCTTGTTATGAAGAAACCTGTGGGATAAGACAATAGTTACAATTTTTTTTTAGAGGTGGGAGGAAAATCCCAAAAGAATATTCTTGGGAAAACCCATGGAATCAGGTAGGGACTGAAAACCCAATCCACATTGGCCCAGGCGGGATTTGAACCCGGGTCAAACCGGTGGAAGGCGAAGAAAGTACCGCTACGTCACCGGACATCGGCCCTCTATTAACCAGAAGATGTTGTGTAATTTCTTAAATGGTTTTCACCCATATTAGCATTACACGCAACCTAAATTTAATTGATTTTGTAATAGTTCAATAGTATGCGCTTCTGATGGTAAGGTTTCAACTTTAATATCGATTGAAGGTCAGAGAGATTTAGTATTTTTGCGTAATTCATATAATATCCATTTTCGAATTCTGTTGCATGCTTGCATACGATGCCTCGTAAACTGTTTTTTAACATCTTCCTATTTGAGATATACGGCAAAAGATATCCTTAAAAGCTACCCCCGGGATCGCAATGAACGGTTTCTCAAATGTACACTTTTGAAACGTAGCATTTATCATCAATTATGAATAAAGGCCATGTTAGGATAGAAATGTTAGCCAACTCCCATCAGGTATACGTACCATTTTCATCGTCGACCCTTTCAAAGCGTCCCTGCACGCGGATGGCCGTGGCTCCAGCGCCCGTGACGGTCCTGACCAGGACGTACTCGCCGAGTCCGTTGAAGGTGTAGCCAGTGCCGTCAAAAGTCTCAAAGTGCGGATCACCATAGATCATTGCTACGGGCAACCAAAGAATGAGACAGACGTGAACAGACGGAGTTGTTTTGCTCGGTTAAAAGGACCATGACATGAGTTTTACTTGGGCTCATGTTTTGTGCATTTTCTACTCCTTTTAAATGCTTGAAAACTGTTGACATCCCTTTAAGTATATTGGAAAGTGCACTTTTTTTTAATATTTCAAATTGTCCATGCTTTTCTCAACGGGGGCCATGGCCCCCCCAAAACGAACCCATTTATTATTATTTTTTAAAGTGACGTCGCAATATAGGCAGGCACTGCGTACACCACCATCTTTTCCTCAAATTGATTTAGTTAAAGTGGTCAATAATAGCCTCAGATCGCACCACAGAGCATAGCGGGCCCCTAATCCCTCGCCATAATTTTTGGACCCATTTTTGTAGGGACCAACAATTTGGCCCCCTAAAATTTGTGTTCTGAATCCGCCCTTGAAATGAGGGCACTGTATATGTTATGGTGATTTCATTTCAGGAAGACACTGTTCAGTTTAAAAGTTTTCTGCTCTAATTTTGTGCATCTTGCCCAGTGATTGATTCAAACCCCCCCCAAAAGAAGAGTACCCTACCTCTGAACATTGTAATAGGCTATATTTTAAATAGCCTAATCAAGGGCGGATCCAGGGGGGGGGGCCAAAGGGGGCCATGGCCCCCCCCCCCCAAAAAAAAAACGAAACCAATTTTTTTTTTTATGTGACATCGCAATAAAGGCAGGCAATGAGTACACCACCATCTTTTCCTCAAAAAAAAACATTGGTTAAAGTGGTCAGAAATTGCCTCAGATCGCACCACAGAGCATCTAGAATCCAAAAATTTTTCGGGGCCCTTAAGCGGGCCCCGAACCCCACGCCGTAATTTTTTTGACCCACTTTTTGGGGGGACCAAAATTTGTTTTGGGGGACCAAAATTTTTTTCGGCCCCCCCCCCCAAATTGTGTTCTGGATCCGCCCTTGAGCCTAATAGGAGCGCTAACATTACATGGTTGTACGTGTAGCAGACCGGGGAGGGGGGGGGGGCAAACACACATGAATCCAAGGTTAATTTTCTTGTCCCTTTGTATTAAAAAAAAAATTTGGATTGAAAAACGTTTGCTGAATCACTCAAATTAAAGATGCGCTCCGCGTGTTATTTCCGAGATTCACCTCGAAAGTCGATTCGCTTTTTTGTCATGGCTATTTCCTAGTAATATTACATTATTCACTTTTGAATAAGACAGAGATCAAAAGAAATTCCAGGTTTTTACGAGATACACAAGAAACCACTCACCGGGTCGAACCGGCTCATACTCCCTACAGTCCTTGGTGGGTCTCTGCTCCCGGAAGTAGTGAAAGTGGTCATCACCCACAACAATGCAGAAGATGTAGGGCACGAGATCGGTAGTCGCTCCAGACAGCCCGGGTACGGCCCCTGAGAACCGGCTGATTCTGTTGGAGAAGCTACCATAGTCGCTGTCCTGGGCGTATACAAGGTTACCGTCGCCGTCATAGCAGCACTCGCTGTCGGCCTTGCTTGGGCTGAAGTGGTAAAAAAGTGGTTTGCTAAGCTACTGATGTCCTTCATTAGATCGAAATGTGACAATGAAAACATAATGCAATCTTTTTTAAAAAGCATTCAGGGCAACATATAAGTGATTGCATATTTTGAGCTCATACTTTTGCGTAGCACTACGAGTTCAATATCGAGAAGTTTGACTTCCTTGTAAGTTTTAATGTTTGGATTGTCGAGAGCAATTTGGTGTATTTTTTACAGACTTTACCTTGTTCTATTTTGGACTGTGAGCATTAATTAAACAGAAATAGTAAAACAACGTACCTTAAAGGAATGAATGATCAAGAAATTAAAAAAAAAAAAAAAAAAAAAAAAATTATAATTAATATTAAAACGGACGTGATTTTCAGCATTATAATGAATCTTATCATGCTCACCATTTCATGTTAACAGCTGAACAGCAATATTGTTGTAATATTATAAATCTAAACAATTAAAGCGGTCTGACTTTTCTAACTTAACAAGTTCTGCTGCAGAGGCAAAATGACAGAGGTACAAGAAACAAACATGAAGCGACTAACAAGCCCACAGAACAAACAAAAGACATGTTAAATGGGGGACATACCAAGGGGGATTAATTCAGGGGGAGGGGGCACACAGTGGCGTAGCCAGGAATTTTTCAGTGGGAAGGGGGCGCTGGGGGGGGGGGGGGGGGGCTGGAACATTTCATGGGGTAGGGCGTCACGTAGATCAATGATAATTTTTTTAGAAACTCAAAATCTTAGTGGGGGGGGGGGCGACTGGGGGGGGGGCGACAAGGTTTCATGGGGGGGGGGCTGTCGTACACCAGTGTGGGCGAAGATAACAGGGAACTCGATGGAAGGAAGAACAAAGGCTCGATATCATGATAATTGAGTCATTTTGTCCGTGTAGTGAGACACTTTTAGCCAAAGTGTGTCACTATACGGACAAAATGACTAATTATTTTACGATAATGAGTCGAATATTTAGTTAGTATACTTCAGCTAGGTCACTCCCGTCAGAAAGCAGTTTGCAGCAGTTTTTCCATGCTAATATTATCAATAATGTTGAAAGGTTCAAGTATACATTGCCTGTCGTAAGAACAGTATAAGTGAATCTCGTGGTTTGGTCAATGTTACAAGAAGGAATATACCATAATCTACGCAGAAAAAACGTAAGAAACAAGCAAATGCCATAATACGATGAAAATGGTATTTTAGATAAAATAAAAAAATATAAAAATTTAATCCCCCGTCAAATGGGATAATTTCGGTCATTTTTTAGCCATATTTAGCTATTGCTTTTATAACAAACTTGGTGAATTGGATTTTCCCTAATATTTAGAACGTTTAGACTAAACTCTACACCATGGTGGTGTTTGGTTGCAGAAAATAGTATTTAACAAGGGGGTGGGGCCCCAAAAAGATGTGACCAAGTTACCTCCGTTATATGGGGCAACATTAGCCAGCCCTAATAATTCCTATGGACACAAAATATCACATTTTTAAAAATTTAAAAAAATTGTTTCCTTCCAGGTAAAAAGTAGATAAAATGAACATTCGACCCTAGATTCCTAATAAAACCCATTTTTTTCCAAAGGCCTCCTTAATGCCATTTGACCTTTGACCTTCTTGTTCCTTGACCTTTGATCTCTTGAAATTTGACCTGACATAATTATCCACTTCAAATCCACAAGTGCATTCAACTTTGCATGGGCATTTTCTGAAACTAATCATATAAAATTTACTGAAGAAATCTTGTTCCACCGAGATTAATATTCACTTGTAACTAAAATATAGGTGCTGACCAAAGTTACCCTACTGACCAAAGATAACACATCTCACGGTAATCGATAAGGGTCGATATCAGGAGCCTAGCCTGGTTTGTAATTTCTGAATTTTGTTCTCAGGTGACTAAAAAAAGGAAATATGCATCGAAGAGCGTGTACAAGCCGAATTTAGAGCACAAAGCCGCAAAGGAGACAAAAAATGATAATTATTTGGAAGAAAAAGCTGGCCCTGAAACAGAACTCGAATTTCATGTTAAAGCAGCGGTAGCATGAAGGAACATCGGAGGTGTTTTACCTGGTGGAGTCTCCGTTTGATCTAAACGAAGGGAAATGAGTAAAAACAGTATTTCTATATCTTTGATAGTATTGCGCATGCGTAAGTATGATAATTAGGAGAACGTCTGGTCACATGCGAGGGATTAACCAATAATAATGTAAATTTGTTATAGTCTATACAAGCCACTAAGTAGTCTACGTAAAAAAATGGCAAAGGCCATGGTCTACAATATGTGAGCAGATTTGCTGCTTAATTATGCAAGATATAACCGCTTCATGACCTCTAAATTTTGACCAATCAGCGAACGCTTTCTATATCGGCTCTTCAGTCATTCACCCGGTTGTCGCGTCATAGACATGGATAAAAAAAAACCTAGACACAGCAACAAAGGCTGTGATCACGCGCTCTTGTTACGCGAAACGCACAAGCTTGTCTATATCTAACTATATGCCCGGCGGTAATGGTTGTATACTCAGGCTAGCCACTAAGTACCAAGAACTTACTTTCTAACAATGCCCAGTACACAGTGCTTGATCTCAGGCCGGGCAAAGCAGTAATTTAGGGGGCTGCCTGCGGGCTGCTTGGTGGAGTCACAGTACGGGTTGGCCACGAAGCGGGCCTGGTCTGCCAGTGCCTGCTCCAGTGAGCAGGGGCAGGCGTTCAGGTCGTCAATGAAGTCTTCCTTCAGCTTGTCCTTCTCATACCACGCTTTGCAGTAGTTGTCGGACCACGTCTGGGAGTCCGTCTGGTAACCGTCTTCGCCCAGCAGGTAGCCAAGGAAATGCATCCCACTGGTGAGCGTCATCCCATTCCTGTATTAAGTACATGGTACCAGGAGTTTTGTTTGATTGATTTGCTTTGTGTTTCTTTTATTCAGAGAAGTTGAGTATGGTACTTTTTTTAGGCCAATGTTTAAAAGTGTTCTACCTTCTTTTCGCTAAGAGCGTCATTTTTATTTTTTTTATTTCTATGGTTCTCATATTTGTTTGCCTCTGAGCTGGGTCGATCGGTCGAAGACGAAATCGGAATAAAAATGCAGTTGCACCCACAGAGATGGCTTAATAAACCCTAATAGGGCTGGGGCAGAATCTGCCCCCCCCCCCTCAACTTTTTCTGCGATAGCCTTAAATGTTTTTTTTCGCGATCCGAGCTGTTATGACGTTTTAGCCTCGAGCCTTGCGCATCTTTTGATACCAAAAACATAAAAACTGGACCACGGGTTGCCGCGAAGCGAAGGTTTTCCGGCGCTGCGCGCAATGAAAACTGAACTTTCCCAAATACGTCGTGTACACAGAGCAGAATTACTATTCGTATATATGAATAATTAATAAGCCATAATTCCAAAACCATTTAACCTATAGTAATATAACTTCTTGGGTATGTTCATGATGAGTTGCTCTATGCATTTAACGAGTTTCAATTTTTTCGTCACTCGATGGCCGAGATCTTAGGGGAAATTCGCCCCCGGCTGAGAGATGGTCAAAATAACCCGGCCCTTTTAGGGTTAAATGATGCCAAGTGCGTAGGTCTCTAGTTTTGCTAAAAGAAATGAATCGACCAGGGCAAGATAGGATATCCATATTTGGCAAGATGTACTTGGCTTAAAATATTCTGAATATATTTGCACCCAGCAGCTCATTACCGTAGTGACAGACATGACATAGCAGTAATTGTGCACAATAGACAATTAATATGATGAGAGGCACCATCCGCTCACCTTCTGTATTCCATCGTTGTATGCCATACTTCGCTTAAATAGTTTGTAATCATTTTCAACAGCTTTACCAGAAACTCAGAGCCCGTTCGCTTGAATTTTTGTTGACTGTTTCTCCATGTATTACTTGTTTTTTTTTTGTTAATGGGGCTCCGAACAGGGTTGGCAGCAGCACAAAAAAGGTGTTTTTTTTATTGGGTCGGGATCCCTAAATAGGGTTGGTCGGAAATGGTGCTCCGAACAGTGTTGGCAGCAGCACAAAAAAAGGTGTTTTTTTATTGGGTTGAGATCCCTAAAAAGGGTTGGTCCGACATGAGAACCAAATAACTTTAAAGGGATACCCTAATGGAGGAATTACCCAAACCATAGCTGCACTACGGTTTTAGGTTTTGTTTGTTAAAATATAAGAAATGTTTTATTTACAATGTTGAATGCTTAGAATAACTCTATCAAATATTAATGTCAATTGGAAAGTTCCCCTGCATATGTTTGAGCAACCAAGTTGTGTGGAAGTAACTGTACATTGCGTCATGAGTTGAAATGAACAACAAAAAGGCTTACGGTTTTGAGGCAGCAGTCACCCGTATGACGCCCATGACATTATTTTTAGTAATGGCGGGATTGGGGCCGACAGTGATGGTATATTCTCCGCTGTTGGCGACATTAGCTGCAATCACTGTATTCTAAGGAAATAATGACCATAATAACAAGGAGTTTTAGTTTTCCACGAAATAACAAAGACCATATTCTCATAACTTCAAGATAAAGTCGCAAATTGTAAGACCCAGTGGTATTTATAGATTTTACTTGAAGTGCAGGGGGAAAAAACGATTAAATTTTTGAAACTTTGTCCAACTGTACTTTTCCTGGAAAAACACACCAAAACTAAAGAACAGCAACAATATACAGCTGGAAAAGAATTTGACTCAGAAAAGCCACTTTGGTAATTCAACCGCTCTTGCACATATCGAAATTTCATGTTAATCTTTCGGGGTTTACCACCATGCACCTCATGCAGAACGAAATCGACAAAATTGAAAAAGAGGTCATATTGTTAAACGTAAATACAACTTAAAAATCACTTTCGATTGCATCGCATTTTACAGTGCTCTTCTGTCTGTGCTTGATATGGCTCAAAAACCGTATGTTGCTACTAAACACATTACTCTAATCTTTCCATTTGAGACGGTCAAATGAATTTGAAGGTGCAACGTCTGCGATTCCCGTTTTTATCAGAAAGGGAAGTGTCTTGAAATGTTACCTTCCATATCAGAATAATTTTTGTTGTTGTCTTGTGTATGTAAATGTAATGGTTTTCGTGCATAACAGCAGAACGCGAGTGCCCTTGCAAGAGCTCTTGCGAGGGCATGTGCAGGCCCGTCGACAGTCGCAAGAGCTCGTCGACACTCTTAGGAGCCCGTCAACACTTGCAAATACCCGTCGACATTCGCCAGAGCTGTTTGACACTTGCGCGAGGTTGTGAATACTCTCAAGACCGCTCGACCCTCGCAAGAGCTCGTCGACACTCACAAGAGCTCATCGACAGTCGCGAAAGCCTGTCGACACTCGCGAGAGCTAGTCAGCACTTGCGAGAGCTCATTGATAGCTGCAAGACCCTGTCGACACAGGGGATATACTCACCACCCATTCATATGCTCCTTCGTTCGTTGTCTGGTTCTCCTCCCTGTAGCTCATGATAGTGATATTCACTTTGGTATCATTGAACATGGATTTGTCCCACGAGATTTCTAAGGGTTCGATGGCTTTGAGCCATTTCATAGTCCATGCGTCTTTCTGTAGCACTCCAGGAGCAACTGAGTCAATAGGCACTGGAGAGGAATAAGTGAACACATTATAGTTTAGGTGGATTCATCCACGTGGGGCTATACCTATGATTAGTTGTTTTTGATGAGAGCTCTGCAGTTTCTCTCTATAACGCTTCCTGACCGCAAACGATACTCCCGGCCACAAACAATAGATAACAGAACTCCAAGTTTGGCATTGTCCCAACAACTGTTTTTACGTGTGGGACTTGATTTAAATGATTTGTTGATAAAGATATACCACAGATTTACTGGAATTTATTCATTTTGTCAGTTTGGGGGACAACAGCCCAGTCTGAATCCATGTTGCAGGACTCAGTATTTTTGAACTCAAACATATAGCACTACCTATTTATATATACACTCTAAAAAGATTTATTGTTATAGATGAACTGGAGAAAGATTAAACTTGTCATTTGTCGTCGGTTTGTGTCATTAAAAAGTCGTTGTAAATGAGTATGTTTTTGAGCAGGTTTCTAGACCGGAAAATCTACAGCGAATAATCGCTAACGATGAAATTTGCAAGCAATATCACGAAGTACATAAACGTGTCAGCATTGTTGACAATGTTGTTTGACGAGTGATGAGTTTGGGTGCATACCTATGTTGCCCAATACTATAATGTTCCCCAATACCGATGTTTCCCCGAAATCCTTACCATATAACCCTAACCCTAATCCTAAGGATTTCTGGGAACATAGGTATTGGGGAACATCGGGTAGACCCGATGAGACTCACTCAATGTGAAGTCCACGTCTTTGAAGGTACTGCCACCGTCAGTGGAGAGCGAGGCCTTGACGTCGCCGATCTTGTCCATCAGGGGCATGACGCAGGTGGCCTGGTAGGCGCTGACGTAATCACAGCCCACGACCTCCGACAGGGCCAGGCTGACAACGTCCTTGTCGCTGAACCGGAAGCGGATGTCGTCGTTCTCACCGAAGCACAGGCCGCCGAAGGTGAGCTTGGAACCGCCCAGCATGCTTGCGTGGTTTGGGTAGACCTGCGGAGCAGCTGCGTGAAGGTGATTTAAAACAAATTATTTCTATTGTCCACGGACCATACATTGTAGTCCAGTCCATTGCAAGTCCAGTGTCGAGTCAATAGACCTTTATCATGTTCCACCATTTCAGTCATGTTCCCTGTATCCAATAACAGTACTGACAGATAATGTTTTTGAGTGCAAAGAGGAACCAGACTATTTTTCTTCCTGCCTCGCTTTGGTTACGTTGATTTGAATGGGGGAAATCAAGATGGCCCCGACATAACAATGGTGTAAAAAATAGTCTGGTTTCTCTTTGCCCCCCAAAATGTTCACTCAGTACTGTCATTGTATATTTTGGAAATATGGCTGATATGGTGGCAGCATGATAAAATGTCTATTAAAGCGTCCCATGCCGAGTCACGAACGAGGGGTAAGCAATGACAACGGAGTGCTTTGTCACATCTTATGGATAGGTGTTAGCAGGCGCGGTTCTAGAACCAATATTTTTTTTTTTTTTGGGGGGGGGGGGGGGGGGCTAGTACGGTGGATCCAGAATTTTTTCAGGGAGGCGTGCTAAAATGTTGACCGCTTATTTTTTCCAGACACTTAGGCCTCCGAAAATCAATGGAGGGGGGGGGGGGGGGGGGGCTCATGTCATATTTTCTATGGGGAGCGCCAAAAGGTCCGGGGCGGAATCCCCCCCCTCAACCTTTTCCGCGATACCCAAACAAAAAAAGAAGAAGAAGTTGTTCCGATCCGAGCTTTCCTGCTTTTTTAACCTAGAGTCTTGCGCAACTTTTTGACAAGTCTACCCCCTCCACCGGCTGTGAGATGGTCAAAATGACCCGCCCCTTTAGAGTTAAGATGAAAACGGGATGTAAAAATGTCTGTATTTAAACGCATAGAGACGTATTTTAAATTCGTCAGACTCCTCATTTCTCACTTTTGCACCAACGTTCGTTGGCTTTCGATCACGCCTTTGCTGATTTTTCTTTAAAAAGAAACAAGAAGCACTTACCAAACTTTGTGCACTGCGGAGCGCTGACAGATGACCCGGACACTTGGTAAATGAAAAAGCCTGGTGGGTCTGCGGGATCGACGTTTGACACCTTAGGGAGTTCGGTGGGATTGCCGTACTCGCGTTCCACGTTGATTATCTCGTTGTTTTTACCGTCGCCGGATTCGAAGCCGACCTTCAAGAGCAGAGAGGAAGGCGTTAGATTCAGGACAATGATAAAAGAAATACGCAGTGTTCGATTTATCATATGTCGAGCCTGACGAGGTCCGTGATGGTCAGAACACATCATTGTGTCCCCCATGGTGATATCTACCAAATGCTGCAGGCGTTTAGTTTCCAAAAACTTACCAGGAATGTTGGTGGGCAAATATTCTATGAGATGACGTCATTTGACGTCGCTGAGCCCTCACGAGAGGGCGTTCTGACATCAGTGCCACCAAATATTGGCTGAAAACGGTATTTGTGACTTTGATTTGTTCAATTAACATTCAAAATGCTTTCAAATTGGACACAGATGTTTCTTCAGACATAATGCAACAAATGAGTGAAGCTTCGATACTCAAGGTCACAGCTCGGTGCACAATGTCCACCGTTGGGGGCGCTAATCAGGACTGGGGTTTTTCAATTCGTCCTACCTGTGGCATGTTGCTTCCAATGCCCGCCTCGTTGCCGCCGGCCGAAACTGATGCGTACCAAGCGATGTTTTGGTAGACAAAGAACACAAACGTGTTGACAGCATCAGACGTCACCACACACTGAAACGTGTTGGTCTGAATGACAAGATGGAGAAGAAAAATCAAGCGAAGGCTCTTATGAAGACTACGGCGCTAATTTTACAGGAATGTTTTTTTTTCTACGCAACTATTTACATGACAATAAAGAGACTAAGGTTTTGATACACAACTTCCTTTTCCCCTATCGAATAGACCTAGTGGAAATCGCCTTTTGCCTGTAGTCTGAATATGCCCAAGTGTCCACCGGCGGGCTTGAACCCACGTCACTAATGCCTCTGAAACACCAGAACATGAGCCCGGTGCTCTTAACCGCTAAGCCATGACATTCCACAGTTAGGGCCTATTGATGCTCCTGATGCAGAACATACTGTCAAATTAATGATGTTTTCACCTGTGGTATGTCAGCCGTCGACCCCTGAAATCCAACATTGTCCCAGGTGACAATGAACACGTTCTTGGGCTTAAAATCGCTGTGCCGGACGAAGTACTCGGTGACCTTGTCCTTCGCCTTTTGCTTGGTGGCCTCATCTGTCGCCTCCCGGTAGAAGATAGCGCCCCTTACTGTCAAATCCACGTCGGCTAGAAACGGAGCAATTAGAATGTGCTGCTCGCCCGGCTAAATGTTCGTCAAAAAAATCAACAAATGATCATAGTTAATAGAGGTCAATGTTGCGATCAAGCTAAATGAGTCGTTTGTCAGCATTAATGACTTTAAAATACAGCCAAAAATTGGTTTGTGGGGTTTGCCATTTCAAAATTGCCTTTTTTTTTATAAAATCGGAAGGCTACATAATTATGTCCTCTTTCATGTCAACTTTTTTTCCAAGTAAAAATAATGATAAAATAGTTGCAATGTGACTTGTTTGCAAGGGAGTTTTTCGTGTTTATTGTTGTTTTATAAACACTTCTATTTTGAATCGTCGATTTCTCTGCTCTCTTCTTTCTGATCTGCCTGTGTTTTAAGTTTTAATTTACACGGGGTTTTCACCATATAAATGGAAAGATATCTCTATTCAAAAATGTCATGAAAACAAATCGATCAGAGCCGAGAAACGACTCATTTCACTTGATCACATCACGTCGGCCCAACATATTACATTTTACTGTTGTAAAATTTGCTAGGCATTTTTGGTGTCACGGCCACTTAAAAATGAAATATTTATTAAAAATTGAAGGGAAAAACCTAACATTTGTCAAATATTATTTTTTTCCCTCCAAGTCCGGTTTCCTGAATTATCTGTTTGGACTGCTTAGATTCAGTCAACCAGGCCAGGTCCAGTTTAAACATATTTATGGATCTTCTAATAACCGGTGAAAAACCAGTCTATTTACCATGATTTGTTGAACATAATACCAACTATTAAACATGTCTATGTACTTGTATATTGCTATTTAGTTGGAACTCGTAAATCTAGTTTATCTTCAAAACAAAAAGCTTGGTTACTCACTGTGCTAAGCGGCAATTGCTCCCATTGACCGAACTGGGCAAGGTCATTTACGAATGATAGAACACCATTGTCGTTGACCTGTTTCAATGAGAGACAGTAAAATTATGAACACCAACCCCAAATATAGGAACCTCACTAACATCCGTTTCGTTGACTTCATGTACAATAAAAGGAAATTCTTAATTATTATGTGTTTCTACTCACAAACACTGACGAGTATTTCTTCCCGTAGTAGGTGAAGGGACTGCCCAAGTCTACCTTGACACTGACGTCGTTCTCCGTTGGGAACCGAGAATCAATTTCTTGCCCAAACGGGAAGAGCTTTTGGCCTAGAGTCCAGTGAAAAAGAAAAATGATAGTGGAAGATGAAGATATAATAAAGGATCAATTTATAGACCCGGGGGGTCCAATAACCGTTTAATGCGCCCTCACTGATAACGTGTACTTTTTATCTTCTTTTTTTTGAGCGCCCTCACTATTTACGGTTTTCATCTACACTATAAAAACTATGTTTAGAGTTCAAACACATTTCTAAACACTGATCTGTATTTTTTTCACATGTTTGAATCTACGACATGTTTGGGTGGGTAGTACGACATTATGGATGGGTGTGTGAACTGTTAAGTTAGGTACACGACGAAATCATATTAGAATAAATTGTAAAAGTGAACAAAAATAACTTATCACTCTTTTTATTACCCGCCTCGGAGTAAACGCCCAGAACTTTACAATATAAATGTGGTTTTTACAAGTTATAATGTGCAATAGAAATCTAAACATGTAGATTAAACATATTTAAACAGTGAATGTAAAAAGTGTTTAAACTCGAAGCACCGTTTTACAGTGAACATTCAGTCACACTGAAAGTACGAAATGTCTACCGCTGCGTGTAACATCACTGAGGGACAAAGATATTTGCGATCTGCTCAGCAAAAATGAATCTGTTGTAGCAAAACTGACATCTTGATTTAACTACATTAATGAAACAGGAATGAAATAGTTGGTACTATGGACCTCTCTGGGACATTTGGGTACATTGCTGTACTTGTTTCTTTCTGTCCATGTTTTCGCTTAGCTAGAAACGTCTCAATGTATGGAGTAAAAAAGGGTTTAAAAAATGACTAACAACCCTATACTTCAACTAACCAGGAAAAGCAAAACAAATCATAATTTTGTCACTCGTTTTTTAAACAATATTTTTTTCTCTGTAACACATAACAACCACATGTAACTCTCAAACAACCAAAATAAAAATAAAAATTAAAAGTTTGCATTAAATTTTCACCGGTTCCATTTCAAAATGGCGGAAGTTTGCATTCAAATTATGCGACATCACACCACTGATCTCAATTATACTGACTATCAGTATAATAGAGATCAGTGAATCAGACTCGTTTTTGTTGAGTGGGTCACATTTTCATAAAGAGGGTGCATTGTGAACAGGTCGTTACAATTCTACGGATTTTATGAGCCGTCCTTCCCAGAAAAGTCAATCATTTATGAGCCACAACCTCGTTTCTATGGCGTCGACCAGTAACGCTACCAAGGTTGCTTTACATTTGCGTTAGTCCGTGTTGGTTAGTGTTGGGGTGGAAGGATGAAAAAGGCCTAGCCCTGGAAATTCGAGGGGGGGGGGCCTCACGTCATGATACCAGGTCGCTGTTCATGATGCAATTGTTCATGTAAAGCAAATGCAAAGGCATACTTTCGATCCTTCACCTCACTTAAAAACAGTGCACTGAAAGCTTCCGCACTGTCTTTTCACAGTTTTCAAAATGTGTGATAAAGTTTGAGCAGTGTAAAGTAACAAGATGACCTCAAAATGGGCTGTTTGTACCTCTCAAAACTCTAAAGGAGGGGGGTGATCTAAAGGAAAATCCCCAGGTCAAAATTGGGGGGCGGGGGTGTCGATATCATACCCACTGAAACGCGCGTGATTTACGCCCTTGTTGCTTATTAGCCTGGTATTGAACCCTTCAATTTTTATTCGGATGATTACATTCGTATTGCTTGATGTCGAATCGGAGTAGCACATAACTTATTTTTAAACAATGTGATAAACGACGTCGAACACACACAAATATTGTTGAGCACTGATCTGAATAAAGAAAGACACAATGTTGTGGGTGTTTTTTACCCCTTTTCTTAAAAAGGTTTTGAACAACATGTTTGTGATGAATTCCTTCCGTTAGGTTGAGCTACCTATTACTGTGCCCATCTACAAAAGCTTATTTCACATGCACCGCATCAATAAGTTCAAACACCTAAAGATAGTGAGTAACTAACTGCCACGTTCAAGTGTTTGGTTGGTTCTATATGCGTCATTCTCGGAAGGCCAATAATGAACAGGAAATTCCCCGCTAATTAACATATTTCGATACATACGTCACACTTCCATTTTCTTTGTATCAGAATTAAACTGTTCGCATAAGTGAGTACTTTAACGTGGACTTTGGATTTCGGTGAGTTGCTACACTCATACCCCGCATTCCGGCGGACCAGCTTAACGCTTTTGCAATGAAAATGCCTACCAAACTTTTGCGATATTACCATGAGGAAATATTGTACAAAGCATTAAGGACAAACATTAAAAATAGTCCCGCTCGTCTATTCCGACAAAGACTGGCACTGAAGTTAAATTTTACAGAAATGTGTGTTATATGAACAACGCACTCAAATATCGATTCAACACAATGAGATTTAAAACAGTTTGATGTTATAAATATGAAACTTTGCGGATTACGGTTTAGAACGGGCTTTTCGGCCTGGAAGGACAAATGTCACATGCTACAGGGTCGTGCAAAAAGAAGGAAACGCACTTTAACAGCAATTTTTCCCTACTTAAGCACATTGAAGAAATTTGATTTAATGGTAATAAAAATATTGATCCTTAATATAAGTGACCAAAAAAAAATGATTGCAAATGAATATTTTGTCTCTGAGATATGGTAGTTTTAAAATTTCATATGCCAGACCTGTTCGTCTACGGACGGCTTTTTTCCATCCGCTTGACTGAGCTCCGGAGCTTGATTTGAAGACAAAAACCACTGCACTAGACTTACACGTAGACAACAGTGATTTTGGTGACTTGCATTCAAATAAGCATTATAACACTATTCTTGCGATTTTCTTTTATATATTTTTGTTCACATCGCGTGGTTGAAGAGCTATACTTCACTGCATTAAAAACAAATGTTCGAATACGTTAAGTAAGTATGTTAAAATTCCTGTAAAAAAATGAGTTTCCTTCTTTTTGCACCACTTTGTTTTTTCTTAAGTTTTAGCAACATTAGAAGAACATAAGGACAGTAGGCCTAATGAAACTGTTTCAAGCGCGGGTAGAGCATAAATAATGACACGAGTTTGACACAGATCATAACTTTGTGGAAGCAGCCATGTTTCACAGATTGACAATACACAGCGCCCTCTGTTGGCTAAAGGGTGCATAGTACATATTGTTACATCCTCCCCTTTTTGAGTTTGTGGAAAAATGCATACAATTTGGGTTTTTTTCACAAATTACATGTAAAACATTGATTTCCTTATACATTTAACAGTCTGATGGTTACAATAGTCCATTAACTTTGAGTTCAAAGTTCAAGAGTTCACGTGCTGAGTGGATATTAGCTGTCTTTCAACAATAGTGCCGAGATTTTTTTTTTCTTTTCAAAAGGCTTTCAAAATGCAGGCTTCCATGTCTGAATCAACAATTTGAACTAGATGGCTTAAAGAGTAATATGATTAGGCAACAACATCTAAAAAACTTTAGAGTAAATGCAACATGAGTAACACTTGAAAACGCAAAAACGAACTTTCACTATTTGTTTTTTTGCTTTTGGTTTCCAAACTTGAATAGAAAATCACTTTTCCTGAAGATGGTTGTTTTTGGTTCCAGAGGGAAAAGGATTGAAAACGGAGTGGAAAGATTGGTGTTTTTGTGTGTGCTTTTTTTTGGTAGTTGTTGGACTAGTGATTAGAATCGAACATAATCTTGGAATTTAACTGGTTCACATCGAGTGCGAGTGGATCTTCGCAGTGTGGGCTGTTCAGTGGGGGTGGTTGTCGGATCGTACGATGTTGGGATTTTGGAGTTAGTAGGTGGTGCGGCTGGGACAGGATTGGGTGGTACTGGAGTCATGTCTGGTTTGATGGAGACTTCCTTCTGGGAGTCAGTGGTTCTGGGACATCCTTCTGGGACGTGCAGTGTGTTTCCAGTACTAGGCTTATGTTGTTTTGGGGGTGGTTCCTTTGACTTCCTCAGGTGTTCTCGGTTTCGTCTGTAAACCTGGTCATCTTGAAGCACCTCATAGGATCTCTCATCAAGTTTGCGCAGAACGAGTGCCTTCTTCCAACGGTCTTCTCCTTGCCGGAACGGTTTCATGCGCACAGTGTCACCTTGTATCAGTGAGGGCAGGTCTTTTGTGGATTGGTTGTAGTATTTCGCTTGTCTCCTCTGGTTCAGCTCCAACTGTTTCATCTCGCGTTTGCCCTCGGAACCTCTGGCTTGGAGTAGGCGTCGTGATGTTGGTATCAGTGTCTTTGTTCTCCGCCCAAGGAATCGTTGAGCAGGGCTGGAGTCAACGCCTTGAGTTGGTGTGTTCCTGATGTTCAACAGGGCAAGGTCTTCATCTTCACCTGTGGCAAGGCATTTCTTCAGCATCTTTTTTGCAGACTTGACTGCAGACTCAGCCTTTCCATTTGCCTTGCTGTTGTATGGGGAGATGGTGTTGTGTTTGATTCCCCACTTTCGTGTGAAATCACCAAAGTCCTTTGAAGAGAATGGTGGACCATTATCGCTGACTATGATGTCTGGTATGCCGTATCTGCCAAAATGATGTTTGAGCTTGCCAATGACTGATCTGGCAGTTGTGCTGTGCAGACGATCCACCTCCCAGAAGTTTGACTTGTAGCACACAGTGATGAGGTAATCTTTCCCATCATGGTGGAAAAGATCAATGCCAAGTTTTTCCCAGGGTCGTTCGGGTATGTCATGGGACATCAGTGGAAGTGGAGCTTGGGACACCTCGTATTCTCTGCATGTCTCACAGCACTCGATCCACTGACGGATTTCATCTGTCATACCAGGCCAGAAGACGTATTCTCTTGCTCTTCGCAAAGTGCCTTCCACACCGATATGGCCCAGATGCAGATCTTGCTTGATGACCTGTCTCATGGCTTTCGGGATCACAAGTCGCTCACCCCGAAACACTAGGCCATCATGGACGCAGAGCTCATCACGGACGGAGAAATATGGAGTAATCTGCGCAGGAAGCAGATTCTTATGTTCTGGCCATCCCTCCTGAATGGATTTCTTCAAGAGTTGAAGAAC